GTCCGACCTATATATCCATGTGACTTCTTCAGATCTTTGTTACCTTATTGCAACTCTAAACTTCTTCTCACCCCATCCTCCACTGGGGATCTTGTTTCTATGTTTCCCCGCCGCATTTAGTAATTATGGTATCTGTGGTTTCCAGCCTCCAAGACAGCCCCCAAGATTCTTACCTCTTTGTAGTCATACTCTTGGGTAGCCCGCTTTCACACTGAACAGGGTTGACTTACATAACTGTAATGGTTAATTTTATGTGTCGACTTGATTGGGCTATTGGATGCTTAGTTATCTAGTAAAATTTTATTTCTGGATGTGTCTGTGAGGGTGTCTCTGGAAGAGATTGGCACTAGAATCAGATCAGTAAAACTGAGTAAAGAAAATCCACTCTTATCAATGGAGACAGACATTATCCAATCTGTTAAGGAACAAGATGGAACAAAAAGGCTGAGGAAGACCGAACTCCCTCTCTGATGGAGCTGAGACATCTATCTTCTGTATTCCTGGTTTGCAGATTTTCAAAATCAGATGAGGACGTACACAATCACCCATCCCGCCCTCCATTCTCAGATTTTCAAACTAAGATTGAATTATACCATTGACTGGTTTTCCATCCTGCAGATAGATGGTAGATCGTGTGTGTGCATGTGTGTGTGTGTGTGTGTGTGTGTGTGTGTGTGTTTCTGTTTCTCTGGAAAACCCTAGTACAGTAACCAACGTGATATTGCAAAAATAATGGAATGTGACAACCAAGGCTAGAAGGTGTTGTACTTAGGCAGAAATTACTTTCCTTTTCTGTTCACTATGGAATTCCAAGCACCTAGAACAACTTCCTCACAGTAGCCCCTTAGTTGCCATGTATATCTCTCTCTGTCTCAGACTTTTAGGTACTGTTATCCCCATTTTACAGATAAGAAAACTGAGTAATCATAAGGTTAAATAACAGGTTCAAGAGCATTTTGTCTTGAGCCAGATTTTTCTGCACAACCTAATGTGCACAGCTAGAGCCCTGAACTAGCCCACTTCTATACATGCAGTCCTGTGTTATGCTCAGTGCTGTACGATAGTAATTGTTGAGGGTACAATTAGATTTAAGAAATAGTCCCTGCTGTTTTGCAGTTAACATTCTAATTGGGAAAACAGAATGAGTATCTGATAACTGTTATATAGAACAGGATTTGATGAGTGCCATATACATGTGGGTAGGCTTTCAAAAGTAACACAGCCTCTTTTCCAAGAAGAATGACTTCATCTATGGTTCTTATGCATAGGTCTCTATGTCACCATCTTAGCCACAACTAATCGAAATAAAGATAATTTCAAGTCAAAAGTTCCCTACTCTAAGGTTGACAAGAATTTGGTATAAGAAGCTAAGAAGCCTGTTTAACTGCTGAAATAACACACATAACACATCATTACTTCACACATTACACATTAGCACATTATAATAAATCTGTATCATCTTGGGCAACCTGAGTATCTCTATAGTCCTTGCAACCAGAAAAGGGTTCTTACACATAATACAATTTTTAAAAAGTCCTATAGAAGTTCAGAATAATCAGGTGACATGAGGGCATGGGTTGGAAACTTCATGGAAAATTAACACATGAGATTTCACAGAAATAAACATATAGTTTAATCAATAGTTCAGAGATCATTTTAATTTATAAATTATAAGAACTACAATGTACAAAGTAATTTGTACATTTGACTTGACTTCGATGATGTCTTTGTGTACTTATTAACATGCGTTATTTCATATAAATAATACTGTAATATTCATTTTTGTATATTCTTTGTAAATCCTACTAGAAAACAGTCTGTGGCTATGACTAGAAATAATACTAGGGATTACTCCTCAACCAGTGGTTCAAGAACTTACAGTAATTATAAAGGTGCTTCAGGTGTGATAATGGAGTCTTTCCATTTCAATTTTTAAAAAATCCATAAATTAAGTAAAAAGAGCAATACAAGGAATCAAAAGAAAATAGGAGGAGTAAGAAAAGAATAATCAATGCTTGTAATTCAGACTATCAGCCCTTAATGATGTACAATTTGAGTTTCTTTCTGAAAATGACTGCTTATTTTCTCTATCATACCCTAATACATAATATTTTGTGGTTAGAGGGATGGAGGGAAAGGAGGGAGAATCCTGGTTTTATAGCCTCATTCACTCACCCAAAAAATATTTGCTAAGTTCTTGCTAGATGCCTTTCTTTTTTCTTTTCTGCATGCAAACTCTTGTTGATTCTATGGGATGTGGCTCAAATATTGCCTGCATTTGAATGTTCTCTCCCTCCACCAAACTATATGCATCTGTCTCTCTCATTAGACTTACGTATTATCTTTTTCTCTTTAACTCTTTGAGCATTCTATCTTAGTATCACATGAGTTACTCAGCAAATGTGTATTGGATGTTTGATGGATGGATGCAAAATTGACAACTTGTTTAAAAATGTTAAAGGAAGAATTCCACACCTGGCTCCAATGGAGTGGGATTCTAACACATCCACTAAGAACATTTAGAAAATCTGGAAACCACGCAAAGTGGAGCATGCCTGTTATCTCAGCTACATGGGAAGCCAATGCAGGAGGATGTCAATCGAGTTCAAGGCCATCCTGGGCAACTTAGAACCAGTCTCAAAATTTAAAAGTTTAAAGGTTCAGGATGTAGGTTAGTGATGAGTGCATCTGAGTTCAATGGCGGGGGGGTGAGGCAGTAATTCTATAAAAATCATGTTTATAGGCATCAGATAGCTGCTAAGATAGTTCATTTAGTTGAGTCCAACTTTCTGTGTGTTACTTTTCTCTTAAGAGAGTTACCCTGATCTTAAATGGCCAAAAGCAGAGCAAAGTTTTGATAGTCTTGTGATATTGAGACAAAGGAAGGCCTCTAGTTCATATCCAGACTTTTATTTGGAGCCATATGGAGTGGGACTCACAAAGACTATGGCACCTCCTCAGGTCAACTCAGTCCTGGATTAGGTTCCAGTGTCTGCTACTCTAGCAGCCTCCAGAAATCCTTCTAGAGGAGGATAATATCACTTTAGAGGCTCTATACTTTCTACAAAGTGTCTGCTATTTGATACAAAATTATCAGGCATAACAGAAGGGCTCAAAGGGGCAAAAGGCAGGGGTGTACAGGAATGGAGAATAGGTGACCTAGAAATTAGTTACAAGATATGGACTTCAAAATGACTCTGAAAAGTTTAAGAATATAGATTGAGATGAGATTGAGAATTTCAACAGAGACCCAGAATCTATAAAATTATAAACAACACATAAAGGGGAGATTTATTAAGTTAAAATATTGTATGAACCTAGCTTTGTCTAGCAAGTGATAAAAGAAATTATTTTAGGTACTAATTGAATCAGAGTTGTATATGATAAATGTCAGAATATACACAACAGAAAAAAAATTACATAGTATTTGACAAATTAAAAATAAGGAAAAGGGGAATATAAAAATGTTTATTAATCCAAAGAGAAAAGAAAAAGGAAAGAAAAAAAGACAAGAGGAGCATAAAATAAGCTAGAAAATAGAAGATGAGTAGATGGTTACAAAGAAACTCAAATTTATCAGTGACTGTGTTAAATATCATGGAAATGCTTCCATTAAAAGGCAAAGATAGGGCCAGGGATTTAGCTCAGTGGTTCTGCCACCTGCCTCGCAAGTGTAAGGTCCTGAGTTCGATCCCCAGTATCAAAACAAAACAAAACAGAAAAGACAAAGATCACCAAATTAGGTTTTTTAAAAATAACCACTCTGGAAGTGTTTGGCAGTAGCTTGCAAAATGTGCATACTGTATGGCCTAGTGTCTCAGTCCTTTTCATGATGCTATAATGGAATATTGTAGATTGAGTAATTTATAAAGAACAGAGATTTATTTGCGCACAGTTCTGGAGGCTAGAAAGTCAAGATCAAGGCATTAGCATCTGGTGAGGGCTTCTTGTATCATGGAAGGCAAATGAGCTAGAGTGATGGGAGAGAGGCCAGGAAATTTATCCTTTTATAAAGATACTATTCATTTGATAGAGAACCCATTCTTGTAAAATGCATCAATCCATTTGAAATTGTAGAACTATACACACAAATAGCAGGTATTAAATGTCCACAGGAACATTGCTTGTACAGCCATAAACTAGAAACTATCCAAATATCCATCAACAAAAGAATGAAAAAATTCATACCATATTATTTAATGAGAAATTACAACCTACAGATAAATGTTACAACAAGAACGAATATCATAAAAGTAATGTTTAGCTGGGCATAGTGGTGCTTCTCTTTCCTCCATTTTGGCCAGTGAAATCAAGCCCTTGCTTTTCCTGATTAGGCTAACTAGTGACATTCTAGAACCTAGACTAAAGATGTATATCTTGATAACAGTAAAAAAGAGACAAAGGTAAAAATGAAGGAGATGCCCCTCCTACCTTACAACAATGGTAGAAAAGGTATGGCTTTGTTTCATAGAACTAGTTCAAAGAATCTGCTGTGATGAGGTATTAAATTAAGAACATTTATAAGAATATAAATCTTGTCCCCTGCAATACTAAAATTTGTTGGAATATTCATAATTTAGTGAGTTTTTCTTTGTTATTGGAGATATAATTTGAACCAAAGAGTTTCTTAAAAGTCTTAGGACTTTCTAAATTATCACATTCTGCAAAGATAACCTTCAAAGAGAAGTCTGTAATTCTGACTGGTTGTCTTCTTTAATAGTTTGTTGCTTTGGTAATAATGCTGTATTTTGCATGTTTGAATTGCAGAGCAATCTGAAGACTTGTAACTTTGCCATGTCAAGTTAGAAGAGAATCACTGGTACATTTCTCTTTTCCTACATGTAAAATGAGGAATTCCTATTGCAGTGATTGTTTTCTTATTTTAACAAAAATTTAACGAGGGGAATTATGTGTATGAAAACTTAATATCTAACATCATCTTTAGGAACTTATATGCTCTTTGTCAAGTTATTTAACAGTATTTTTCTTTTTCTACATAGACTGTCCTTCATCTACCTGGGTTCAGTTCCAAGACAGCTGTTACATTTTCCTTCAAGAAGCCATTAAAGTAGAAGGCATAGAGGATGTCAGAAATCAGTGTACTGGTCATGGTAAGGAGCTCCCCTCCCCTAATTAGTAGTATTCATTAAAAATGGCCTTGTCTTATTTCACTTTTAACAAGGTTCTTAGAATTAATGTGCAACTTTTACTCTATGACACACAAGCCACAGTTATTGTGCAATACTGTTCAAAGTAGAGTAACAGGACCTTAGCAACGTGTCTATTTAATGTATGTACCTACGCCAGGCACTGTGCTTAAGTACTTTACACTTTACCTGTAAAGCAGTTTATTCTCCTTTAATCAAGAGAAGAAATTAATTCAGTTATTTGTCCAAGGCTACATGGGTAAAATGACAGGCAGAGCCAGGATTCTAAGTCTCACCTGCTCGCTTGCTCTTTTTTCTTGTATCTAGACTGGTCTTTGTGACTTACTTTGACCAATTAAATGCAACCATGTGATATCCTGGGATAGCTGAGGATCAGACTTTAAGAGTACTAGCAGATTCTTCTGGAAGCCAAGAGAAGAATGTGATCGGTTGTGTCAGATGCTGCTGACAAATAGGATGGCAACAGGAACTAATGGTTGGATACAGTAATGTGCCTGTCATTCATGATTTGGATTGTAGAAATTTTTGTGAAGTGTTTGGAGCAAAATCCAGACTGAAGTAAATTTAAGGAAAAAACACGAAGAAAGAAATTAGGGGAAAATGAGTACCAATAGCTCCTACCTCCTGCGGAAAATTGAAGAGGCATAGAACAGTAACAAAAGGGGGATGATAGTATATCGCAATAGCAATGTTTTAAACTAGCACATTAAGTACTGATTTATCTAAAACCTGGACTATAATTCTGAAGTTTAACCCAACAATTTAAGAAGGGTATTGGCTCATTGTAAAAACAGGATTCTTAAAAGCAGTTAATGCTTGGTACATAGTATCTTTACAAATAATCTTCTTTGTAGTTTTTTCTTTTTTTAAATTTTGTTTTATTGAAACAGGGTCTCCTCGTATAGTTCAGGCTGGCCTTGAACTCACAGTCCTCCTATGTCAGCCTCCCAATTCTTGGGATTACAGGTGTGCACCACTCCACCCTGCTATCTTCCTTGTATTACAATTTCATAATTGGTGACATTATGATTAGCAATTTATAAAGTAAAAACAAAATACACCTAGGTCTCTTGGATTTTAGTATAAGAATTCTTCATCACTGTTATTCTGCCTTTAAAATGCTGTTTCATGCATGCAGCATGGACAAAAGATTACATAAGCCAATGAAATGAGACTACAATAAAGAATGGGGGTGAAGGCCGGGTATTTATTTCAGTGGTGCCACAGCCTGCCTCACAAGCGCAAGGCACCGAGTTCGATCCCTGGTACCAAAAAAAAAAAAAAAAGAAAAAGAAAAAGAAAAAAAGAAAAAAGAAAAGAATGGGATTAAAGAAAAAAGCTATTTGCTGAAACATACACTTTATGTTCTGTTTTCTGAAAAATTATAATTTCACATCGTGAAATATTTTGAAAACAATTATTTATTTATTCTATTTTGTTTTTTGAGTTAGCAATTCCCTGAGTGGACTAAGCTGGTTTTGAAGCCCGGCGCTCAAGTGATCCTCCCACCTCAGCCTTCCGAGTAGCTGGGACTACAGACATGCACTATCGTGTCTAACAAAATGTCATTAATTTTTTTTCTTTTTTTTTTCGGTACCAGGGATAGATCTGGGGATCCTTGCGCTTGTGAGGGAGGTGGCAGAACCACTGAGCTAAATCCCCGGCTCCTTTCAAAAATTCTTACCTACCAAATAGTGAACATTGGCTTAGAAAAAAATATTTCTGACATGCCGGGCTAGTTTTATTTCAAGGAAGTTGAATAAAATAGTAGTAATTTTGCTAGTCTAACAAGCTTTTTAAAAAATGAATTTCCCCCTCAATTGTTTTCTTTTAAAATTTTTACTGTATATTTAGACATAAACATAATTTCAGTGATAAAAATATATTAGAGGCTGACAACCAAGAAAAGACTTGTTCCTATATTTATATTAGATTGTATGAACCACAAGATCAAAGTTCACTGTCCAGCATTAACATATTAATGTTTTGATTATCAATTTATAAAGTAAAAACAAAATACACCTAGGTCTCTTGGTTTTTAGTATAAGAATTCTTCATCACTGTTTTCTGCCTTTAAAGTGCTGTTTCATGCATGCAGTGTGGACAAAAGATTACATAAGCCAATGAAATGAGACTATATTTGTTTCAGTTAAGCAACTATTATTATGCAGAAACAAATTAATAATTGATCGGCCTCCTCTGTGATTCAAATGTAGTTTCTTAAACAAAGAAAAACACTAAAAACACTAAGCAACTCCGTTGCCTGAATTTTGAGTGCTTGTTTAGAAGTCCATTAACTCTACCTTTTTTAATTGAGTTTATTGGTACATTTTAGGTATACAGTACAATTACATTCATTATTAGGATCTTGTTCCTTTACATGACAGGTCTTGGTTCTCATTTTTTCCCCTTGTCCCTGCTCTACCTTTTGAAGGAGACAGTTTAAACTGTATGTACAAATTTGTTATAAAATTTGCGCCTCAAAAAATGATGACTTTTTCCTCACTTGAAGTTTGTAGATTTAGGAGCTAAGGGTGAAGTTCAGTGGTGGGGAGTTTGCCTAGCATATACAAGGTCCTGGGTTCAGTCCCCAGCATGAAAAAATTTAGACTATCTTACTGATTTTCTCTTGAACCCATTCCCAGCCCCTTTTCACTTTTAAACTTTGAGACAGGGTCTCACTAAGTTGCCTTGGTTGGCCTCAAACTTGAAATCTCTTACCTCAGTGTTCAGAGTGGTTGGGATTTACAGCCACCATGACTGGCTTAATGTGAGTTTTTAATAGTTCCTCATACATTTTTTCTTTTTTCGTACTGGGGATCAAACTCGGGACCTTGTACTTACAAGGCTGGCATCGGCACCACTGAGCTGAATCCCTGGCTCCTTCATACATTTTTAATAACCCTTCCATTTATTTGATTATCTTGTATATTTACTTCCACTCTGGAAACTTTATTTCATAGATGAATCAGAAAACTTGCTAAATTCCTTAGTAAATTACTTATTTTGGGTTAGGGTAGTTAGTGCTTTTAGACAGCAGGTCAACATGAACTGTGTTTGCTGTATATGAAGAAGAAAAGTCATAAGAAATACTACAATATTTATATTTCAAAAAAGTCTTTACAGTCATGCAAAACTATCTTAAACAAATCATTGGAGTATAGAAAATAAGTCATTTGTTACTTTGGGGCTGGGCTGCAGAGAGCTGCATTCATCCCAGTGTTTTCTGCCAATTTAGTTAAATGTGTTTGCTTTCTTTACTTTTGCTAATAGTATTCCTTGTGAAAAGCTAAAACTTATTTTGTAACATTATATTTTTAATCTTTCCTTTATGTATTATGAGCTAAAATATTGACCATTGAGAGAATGAAAGATCCAAATTACATCTCAGTAGGTAGTGTCATTGGTAATACATTGTTTAAAAAATATTGAGTATATGCATTCTTTGGGGATTTATGCTACCATTTAAGAAAATGAAAGTGTGTCATATTTGCCTGGCGAAATAATTTAAGTCTAATACAGTATTTAATTAGATTATGATGTTAAAAATCATTAAAGTTCCATTGGCTGCCACAAGGTCAGAGAAAAGGATAAAAAACTCATCTCTGGATTATTAAGCCTAAACTATTAACATAAATATTTCTCTTGAGGATTTTTCTAAAGTGGTATTTTGGTCACATTTCATCAGTAATTATTAGGATACAACAGATTACATACAAGTCTATATGACATTTAACGGACAGAAGGTCAAAGCAGCTGGAACTGATTTTTTAAAAGCTATCAGATTTTTAGAAAAATGATAGAGAACTTTGCTGAATTCTGACTTTGTATAAAAGTATTTATTTTGAAGTTATCTTTTTTCTTTTAAAAATTACTTCATGACACAATGCACGAACACTATAAAAACTTTTCAAAAGTATTTTATTTTTTAAAATTAAAAAATATCACCCTAAATTGTAGCACCCTAAGGTAATCATTGCTAACATTTTGGTAACTATGCTTCTAGACTTACATCAATGACTATTTCCATTCTTTCAGTTTCATAAACAAACGTGATAATTGCACCTATTTGTAATTTGTGAACACAAATTCATCTTCATATATTGCTGAACAAATGATTGATTTTATCTTAATATACATTATTAAAAATTGCTGCATCAAAGGGCTTTTGATATATCCTGCCAAATTCTCCATTATACTAATTTTTACTGAGTAGATGCTTATTAGCTCTCATTATTCCACAAAACTATTCTGCAGACCTGAAAGTCTGCTTTCTATCTTTTCAGTAGCCACACTGAATTGTCACGTCTTACTATATTTTTGTGACAGTAAATTGGCTTAACAGTTTAAGACCTTTTGTTTTTGGTACCGGAGATCAAACTCAGGACCTTACACTTGCAAGGCAGATGGCAATACCACTGAGTTAAATCCCCTGCCCCAACACTGTAAGACTATTTTTACTTGCTAAGGTAAGCTTTTTTTATGTTTGTAATAGAATTATAATCTGTCCAGTCTCTGATACTCCTCTTTGACAATATGGTATGTTTTGGTCTTAGCCCTATTTCCTTTCCTTCTGTAAATGTACTGATTTTATAACTTTTATATACCTCATGTGATTTTCATTGATTGTGGAACGTGCATTCTTCCCCCTGAAAATAATTCAGGAGCAGACATGATAAGCATACACAATGAAGAAGAAAATACCTTTATACTGGATACTTTGAAAAAGCAATGGAAAGGCCCAGATGATATCCTACTAGGAATGTTTTATGACACAGATGGTAAGTGATATTTACCTTGTGAGACACAACTTTTTCTTTGTTTAATTTTAGTAACATTTAGGGCTTTTTCGATTCTTCAGTTCTCTTGATCAAGTGGATGTTTCCTGCGGCCTCCAGGTATTGCATTTACAGTATGCACCTGTAACATGTACCACAGCATTGCCCTGAGTAGCTCCATGTGTTTCACAATGAGAAATGCATTTAACCCTTGTCTGGAGTAAAATGTGTTCCTAAGTACTTTTGTAATATGCCACTAATAAAAGTTGATATTGGTGTCAGCTGTTATAGGATAAGGATTAAATTATCCCTACGTGTAAGGTTACATAATGTAAATTTATTTTTCACCACTACAAAAAACTAAAATGTATAAACATTTTCAAATGACCTGAATTATTAAGGCTAGTATTAAGATATTAACTTTAATTTTTTGTCCATAAAAGAATATTGTTTCTTCATATTTAAAAGCAATATGCAATTAAATAGCTTACAGAAACAACAAAAAGTGAAGCATAGTAGGATTATGATTTAGGGATACCTTTGGGTTATTGGATTGGTATTATTTTATGTCCTTAAAAAAAACAAACTCTCATTTTTGTACCAGTTTTAGTTTCTGCAGATGCTAGTAAACTGAGTTGACTTTTTTTTTATCATTTTGACAGTTGTTAGTAAATAAAATGTCTTAACAGAGGCATACCTCTAATATGTATATTATTCAAATATATTAATGCATGAAGGATCACATCACCTTGTTTACAGATTACACTTAATATCCTTTACCATTTCTTTCAAAACATAATAGTATACAAAATCTTACCATCTTAAATATTGTAAAAACTGTAACAAAATAATATGTATGAAAATATTTTTATCTTGAGTTTTCCCTTATTGTTGAGAGGCAGCCTGGTTTGCTTTGAATTTCTAATGGGTAGAAGTATGCTCTGCCTAATATACTATTCTGTCCTGGGGGATCTTAAAATATAGTAGTCACAGAAGAGGATAAGAGGCATGGAAAGATATGGTTCCACTTCTCCAACCACAGCAAGGAATAGAATAGTAGGGCTGGTGGGAGACAACATTTCCCTCAACAAGTTTAAGTACATTTCTCAGCCTTAACTGATGAGGAAACAGGAAATAAAAGTGGGCGTGGGACACATATGGAGGCACTGCCATGTTTCAAGGCCACATGGCTCTATATAAATATCTGTGCCACACCAGCTCCCCTTAAGGCTATATTTTATTTCTTGACAAAATGTGTTGTGAAGGATTGCTGTAGGACTCATGTTCTAGCTTTTGCCACTTGCCCAGGTGTACAGCTTATTTATATAGCAAATCACAGTATTTGGATGGCTGCAGTTGCATGGTGAGCATGAGACAGTACTGGTCTACATTATGATAAGGTTCTGAAATGACCCTTGCATTTTGTAGTACTGGGTATTCTTCACAAAAGGAAAAACCCAACATAGTAGACACTGTAGAGATTTGAAGAGAAATTTGATTCTGTGGTTGAAATCTTTCACCTTTTAAAATTGTCATGATGTTGACAATATCCCTTGACAGATGCAAGTTTCAAGTGGTTTGATAATTCAAATATGACATTTGATAAATGGGCAGACCAAGAAGATGGTGACAGTCTAGTGGACACCTGTGGTTTTCTTCACGCCAAGACGGGTGAATGGAAAAAAGGAAACTGTGAAGTTTCTTCTGTGGAAGGAACGCTTTGTAAAGCAGCTAGTAAGTATGGACCAAAATGTCTTTTTCCATTCTGGGAGGGGAAGGGAAAGTAGGGCTGGTTTTCAAATATTTTTCTTCTGGGTTAGTGTGCTTTACAAGAAGACTTCAGAATACAATAGTGTGGTGTGCTCTCCAGTCTCAGAAATCTATGTGTAATTCTTTTATATTTCAGAGGTTGGGCCAGATCATTTGAACTAGGTATAATTTAATTCTATCTGCTTGAAGTTGCCAAGATGTCAAAAATTTCTTCCATTTTTCAAAAGAATTGCATCCTCATTGCATGTGATTTGAGGAGTGGTGAGAGTAATCATGTGTAATTCCAGAATTTTAATGTTAATTTACAAGCAATTAGATTGCAAGAACATCCTGTGTTTAGGAAAGAAGAAAAATTATACTGCAGTAAAAATTTCATCATAGTTCATAATATATTCTGAATTTTAAAATATATATTATCTGATCCATGTGAATATGTTAACAAACAAAATTACCTTGTTCCATATAAATATATGTATATGTGTGATGTGATGTGTGTGTGTATATGTATTTTCTTTTCTTTTTTTTTTTTGCTGTACTGGAAATTGAACCCAGGGTTTCATGTATGCATGCTGGGGAAGCACCCTTCTGCTCAACTTCATCCCCAGCCTTTTAAAACATTTTAAAAGAATATGTCTATGTTGCTTGCAGTCCTGTGTCCCAAGCAGCTGGAATTATAGGCATACATCAACATGTCTGGCTTTTGCAGTATGTCTATACATTAGGCACTGTGTAAAGTTTGTTTTTCTAAATTCTGAAGAGTAAATCTACTCAGTAAAAAAGCAATTTTGGTATATGAATTTGGGATGCATGACATGTTATACAAACCACTATTTCCCTGCTTTGTATCCTTAGTATTTTCTGCAACAGCAAATCAAAACCATTTGGCTCTGGTTTTCTCTTTTTACATTTAAAATTACACACTTTTGTTTTATATTTGTCAACTGCAGGGTCCCTGACTATAATTTTTAGTGATGTAAAACATTTGTTATAGTTTTACAGTAGTAGCAAACCAACTTCAAAGATTTGAATTTTTAAAAATTAGTTCTTGTACTGTACTCCAGGGCACCATTATAGACATTTTAAATTTGAACAATAACGTCAAAACATCAGAAACAATGAGCAAATACATTCTAATAACAAAGTCACAGTTGTCTTACTATATTTTTAACTTCAGGCTGTCCAACAATAACCCCATTATTTTCTTCATCTCATTGTCTTTTTCTTGAATTCCCTTATTTTTTCCATCAACCAAATCTAATGCACTTTGCTAGGCTTTCATATCTGTCTTTCAAAACTAAATTTGGTATGAACAGGAATAGTAAGCCAATAGTGTTCATTTTTAATGACTGTGAAGTATTTAATGTCAATTCTATGAATAAATATATATAATTTTAATTTTAATTTTCTTTTGTATTTTAGTCCCATATGACAAGAAATATTTATCAGGTAAGTAATAGTATAGTCTCAGTGCTGGTTTTTTTGCCCATATTTAAATATTAAAATTTTGGCATGTAAAAAATTCTAATATAAACTCCTTAAGATTATATAACATAAAGTAGAACTTTTGTAAGAATGTATTCTTAGTAGGACATGACATTTTAAATATAACCACAAATTATGCGTGAATTTTTTACACCAAATCTTAATTCTCTATCAAACTCCAATATCTACTTTGTGGATATAACTCTGAGTTTCGTTTAAGTTTCTCCTCATAGTTCCAGGTATTTCAAAAGCACAAGGGTATATTAAATGCTTTTTTTTTGTACCGGGGATTGAACTTGGGACTTGTGAGGGAGGCAGCGGAACCACTAAGCTTTTAATCCCCGGCCCTTTAAATTCATTTTTAAGAAAAGATAGGTAATGGAGGATTCAAAATCAAAACTATATAAGATGACCATTGTTGCACCCTATCCTGGAGTTTTTTTTTTTTTGGTACCAGGTATTGAACTTGGGCCCCTACACTTGCAAGGCAGGGGCAGAACCACTGAGCTAAATCCCTGGCAATCCTGGATTTTCTTTTATTGGGCACCACTTGGTTTTTTCTTCAACCTTCTCATGTTTCTTTTGTTGATGCTGCAATACATGACAAGGAAACTGAGATACATCGCTTACTTTGCTCCTTTAATTCTCTACTATAGTTTAGTACTCTCTCCGTATCATTTTCTATGTGTAGATCTATATTCCTTTCTTACAACTCCATGCTCATGCTCTCTCACATACAGCTTCAAACTTGTTTGTAAACATTTGCTATTATAAACAAGTGCTGCAATGAACGAAGCACCTTGCACAAATACATACAATTGCTTGATGCAAAATGACAGCTTTGATCGATACTTATTTTGGTCTATAGGAGTTGTATCTTGCACTGTGTCATAAAACCTTTAGATTTTCATCAAGTGGATATTTTGAGGTAAAATGAACAGAAAATACATATATCTTCAGACATACTACCTAGTATATCTATATTCACTTGTTACAACCAAATTGTTGACTGATACCCAACATTTCCATCACCGCACAAAGCTTCCTCACTACTCTTCCCAATGAAAGAGTCCACATTACCACCCACCCACTCCCAATTTCTGATTAAATCCACCTTAAAATTGATTCTTCCTGAATTTTACCATATTCTATATATGTACTTTTGCTTGGCTTCTTTTACTCGGGGATGTTTTTAAGATTCGCCATCACTGTTATGTTTATTATATTTCTTCATGATTATTTTTGGCACCGGGGATCAAATTCAGGGCCTTGAGCTCATGAGGCAAGTGCGGTGCCACTGAGCGAAATCCCTGGCCCACTTCGTGAGATTCATGTACTTTCCGGTTTTGGGGGCGGTAATCTCAATTTCTACCTTGAACTAGTATGAATAGAGCCACCTATGAAGTCTTCTTTTGGGATCTAGGTCATTGTGAGTATATTACCTATAGTGAAACCATGTGTTGGTATATACTCATATAGTTGTATTAGAAACTATTGTATAAATTTTCAGTAGTTCGACCTTGCTAACATTCCTCTTGGCATTTCATTTGCTTCACACTTCACATTGATAACATAACAGTATTTTCAAATTTTACTTTTAGCTATTCAGATGGATGTATAGTTATATTATTGTATTTTCACTCCTTTGATGATGCAAGCACATTTTGGTACTTTTTATGAAATGCTTTTGTCCTTATTTTCTCGTTTCTTAAAGGCTTTCAAAATAATTTAATAAAATTCTGGATGAGTCTTTTGTATCAAAAAATTATTATACATCACAAATATTTTCTCCATTTGGAGCTTGCCATGATAAAAGTGATGGAAAAGGAAAAAAACTAAGTGTGTGTGTGATCTACACCCTCATTCTATCAGTTTCCTGATAGAAACTTGAGACAGCAATGAGCAGAATTTCCTTTCAAGCTTAACTTCCAGTGCAAAGGTTAAAATTATAAAAATAGAATGTCAGATACTGTAGGTAAAAAAGGCAGGATGGAGGATAAATAGGGAGAAGGAAAGTTTTTTTGTTTTTAAAGTAGGGTGATAAGGGAAGGCCTCAATGGTTAAGGCCATAGTCGAGCAAAATGAAGAGGAAGAAAGTGAAACCCTCCTATATAGCTAAGCATTAAGCTTAATCTATGACGTTAACATGTAGCAAGGCAAATGACCTGAAGCACGAAGCTGACACACTAACAGGCATTAGCACTAATCTTGCAAGCGAGGTTTCCATTCATACACCCTGGGAAGTGTATTAAAAGAGAGGGTTATACTAGGATGCACATAGCCTATTGAGTATAAAGAAAGGGAGTTAGCCAAGCAGCGTTCACCAAAAGTTACTGGACATGATCCAGGAGTTAAATCTTGAAGGTAAGTAGGCATCAAAAAGTGAGAAAAGTAAGGCGATCTCAGTTTAGGTATCGACATTAGCCTAGGTAGGTTAGACTTTTTACTATCACTTAACTGAATGTAGCTGGGCAAGTTAAACCATGTCTCAAATATACACAGCTGGCACTCAATAAATTACTGTGGTTAGTCCAACAAAGGCTTTATTTTTAAAAAGTGGATCATGTTGGGCCTCACATGATCAGTTAGGTACTGACTATACAATTATCCAGATTTACATAAAAACTTGAATAGTCGAGGTCAACTATGGAGAGTTTAAATACCATTGTAAAGATTATTATGGAGTATGGAAAAAAGGGAAAGAAAAGAAGTATCAGGAAACTAAAGTGGGAAAAAGACTGAAGGTTGGATGTCTAAGTCTAGATACCTCAGCTTGAAGTGATGTGTTAAGTTTATGCTTCAAAATAAAGATCACTGGTGACCACTGCCACAGCCAAAAGGTTGAGGATTAGTTACATGGGTTTGAGAAATGACAATGAAGTGAAAAATTGTTTGTAGTAAGTTTCCTCAACTCTTTTCTTAGGCTAAGGATTTCTCCTCTTTCTGGCTATGTTCTTAAAATGAAGATGAACTGTTAGATAATAGCACTTACATGCTTAATCAAGGAAGCAACAGATTTTTTTCCTTTCATTAATGAGGCAGATATAATACAGAACTATCCTTTCCTTCAGATACATATCCTTCAGATACATATCTTAATATACTGCCAATTAACTGTCCTGTGATTGACTTTGTCCATTTTAGTAACATGTAGCTAGTCAACAAAAAAGCCTCGGTGGCAACTTGGCTACAGATCATTTGTTACTGTGTCCTACTGCAGTTCTTAGGATGAGGCCTTTTAATTGTTAAAGCTGTGATTATGAATCTGTAAATCATTCTAAATTATCGCACCTTTTCAGACTAAATTGACTTTTCACCTGTCTATACTCCTGTGGCCATGAAATCAATAAAGTAGATACCAAATATACATCGAGACACATTAGAAGATTGAAATAACAAATGTGTCCACATGGGTAAAGTATGGGCTGTGTTCTGAAAATATGTAGTAGTAATAAAATGAATGCAAGGAATCCAAAATGCAACATACTGTAGCTCTTATCATTTTAATACTAATAAGAATCTTGACAGTAAATGTAACTTTTTCTTGCCTGTGAGGAAGTCTCAAATAGAGAAATATACCTATGCTCTCCAAAATGCAATACTTGCAACTTGTACAACTGTTTCCCATATATTCTCTTGTGTTTTCCTTTTCAGATAATCATGTTTTAATATCAGCTTTGGTGGTTGCTAGCACTGTAATTTTGACAGTTTTGGGAGCAATCATTTGGTTCTTCTACAAAAGACATTCTAATTCTGGTTTCACTACAGTTTTTTCAACTATATCCCAATCACCTTTTAACGACGACCGTGTTTTGATAGATGGAGAAGAAAATGAATATGCTGTTCAATTTGACTAAGTTTTTGGTAATCTCAGACCAATCTCTTGACACCAATTCCTAAGATTTTAATATAAAACTTGACATTGAAAATTACAGCTTTTATGGTACTCTTATTCTGGTAGCAGTATTTTCATGAAGTCACTGTGACAAAAGTCAACCTTTGCATTGTGAACATTTCCTGCAAGCTTGAACCTCTCTGGTGGTTCAAGTCACTTCACAGAAATATAAATATGGCCTGTCAATAAAGCAGGTTTTCGAAAAGGAATGATCTCTATCTAACTTAAGGGTTTTAACCACCATTTCAAATGTAGAAATTTTCACTCAAATAAAAGAAAGCCTGAAGTCCAAGAACTTAATACAAATAAAAATCCAGCCTACTTGTCCCAACCTGCTCTGCTTTGCCTTCCAACTAGCTGAACCAGCTTAGTTTACAATTTACCTTACTCTCTTATTGATGAATGTGATATGGGAGGGAAGTCTGATTTTTAAATAAATTTTATACATTTAAATATCCTTATACTGGCTACTTTGGTTGACATGTCCTCTATGATTTGTATTTTTTTATAATTTAGAAAGATACAGATTGTAACACTTTATACTCCACATAATTTTATAATTTCATTACTTTTAGATACATTAAACAAAAAGAATTTAGCACTGATCACAAATTATTAAAAATTTAAAAATTATCTGGAACAGATTAGAGATGGGTCCATCAAGAATTTCATTTTACAATTCTAGCTGGTAATGAAGCGCTAAAACTTGATTTCCTTTTATGACAAAACATCTATTACAAGTCTAGTTTTTGTCAACAGATAACTGAATTATTGAAGTTTGTTTCCTTATAGTAAACAAGCTTGTTTACTGTATTCAGAATATAGAAATTGTTTCTTCTATGTCTTCACTCTAGCTAACAACTATATAAGGTACAGAGCATCAAACTCAGAGACATGCACATGCTAGGCATTGAAAGTATCCCTAAGGATTCAAAGAATATATTGAAACTGGCATTCTTTTTCTTTTTTTCTTTTGTACCAGGGATCAAACTCCGGTCCTTGCACTTGCGGCAGGCACTGGAACCACTGAGCTAAATCCCTGGCCCAAAACTGACGTTCTTAAATTTTGTGTTTCTGCTTTGAGTAAGGAAATGTAAAGGTAAACAGGCAAGAGTTGAACATAATGTTTTAGAAACATTTATACTGCTCTAAAAAATAGGATTTGATATTTTAATAAAATGTTTGGCTATAAGGTTTCAAATCTTTTTTTCTTTGTGCACCAGAAGAAAGGAAACAGTTCAAACTATGAAATAAATCAGTGAGTATGCACTTTATTTCCAGCAAATATTTTACAGAAGACCAACAAACTAAGTGGGGAGAAACTGTTCATTCACATTTGATAAATTACATGGTTTCAATTAAGTTTTGAGCAAGTAGCTCGTTGCTTTAACGTCAGACTTTAAACTGGAACTACTTTGAGATGTTTAAGTGTATCCTACTGTACTGACAGGAAAAATACAATGTTATGGAATACACAACTTATGAGATAGTGCAGATTCATTCAGGTTGAGTAGGTAATTTCCATCTGTTTTCCCCAAATAGTGAAAAGTATTAATCACCATCAAATAAATGCTCAGAATTATTAATAGTTAAAAATGACCAGGACCCAAACAGGTATTTATATCATATCTATAAAGAAGTGACAACACTAAAATACACATTGAAAACCAGTGTTTTAAACTTTGAGTATGGGATTTAAAAAGATTCTATTAACTTGCAATTGTAATTTTTTAACCAAATAGCATCTGACTGGCAATTCTGATATAATTTACAGTTGTAATATTCCTAAAGGAATATTTACATAGTATCACCTATCAAATATAATCTGCATTTTGAAAAATCAATACAAAAATTTTTCCATCATTTCTAAATCTTTCACTTTTTTAAAATTAGGTTTTATTGCTAAATGAATTTAGAATTCAAATTAAATTTGGAAACCTAATAGTTATAATGGTCTTCCAACTCTTTTTAATTTTTTTAGAAACACTGGAAATAAATGATTATTAAAATATGACTGCTACGTAAGGCATTGTAGAAGGAAAACTAGTTAGGTGCCATTTGGCAGTTTATTTCAAAAGCATATTTTTTCCCCTTTTTCTTACTAGCAAGAAACTAGAACACAAATCTGTTTTTCATAAATATGACTACAGTAATCAGAACACAAAAAAAGGATAGATGGGCAATGCTTATATATTTAAAACAAGGGTAATACTTTCCAACTCACCTACAAGAAAAATATTTTTACCAGTTTATAAACATCAGATATGCTGGTCAATGTTAAAAGGTCCAGCAGAAGAATTTTAATTTAGCAACACTTGAGAATGAATATATATATGCACATGTATACATGTATGTATATATATTCATTTTATATATAGTCAATATATTTCACAGGCATTCCCTCACAAAATTCACACTTAATTGCCAGTCTTAATAAACACTTGTTGACAGACCATCCATTTGTCTTAAATGAAGTTAGGCAATATCATATGTTCTGTTTTGTTCTCCATCTTCTTCAGAATCATCCTCTGAAGCTGTTGAAAAAAAAAAACCAGAATGATCAAGAATGATTTTGAGGGGGATGATGATGGGAGGTGTAACTATGAAGCCAGAACAGCAATGACTTCTAACAACAAAAATCCCCACTTAGTATACTGTTCAGACCAAATGATAGATTATGACAGGGTTAGAGTGTTTGATTGTGGGTGATGCCAATTCTCAACACCCCCGCTCCCCCAAATCTTTTTGTGATGTTACACAGTTTTCATAAAAATGAAATGCTTTAAAAATGTGGTTCAAGAGCATCTTCTAAAAACGTTTTTGAGATCAATTTGTGTTCATATAGCTAATGATATAAACACTAGGGAAAGAGTGAATTTAAGGCAATTCCTCTCACACACCTGAGTAGAATCTGGCTTATTATTGCTGCATCCGATGAAAAAGAAAAAAAAAATGTACATAGAATAACAGGTTATGGGTGTTCTTGTAATTTACATCAAAGCTATGTCTATAAGCACAGAAGATTTATTTAGTAAGTTTTAAAAGCTTTATATAGACACAGCCCAAGTTAAAACAATTGGATTTAGTAAAAATCTATAGTACTACTGAAATTATTCCCATGTCTTCAAACTGTCAGAAACTTCACTTTTACAACATTTCTGATGTAAATTTATTCAAGGGTCATTAGTGGCTCAAGATTTAAAGTAAAGCAACCTACAATGTCTTTAGGAAGGGGATAGTAACAAAAAATTATGTCTTCTGGAAACTTTTACATGTGGAAGAAAATGAAAGCTCAATAAAATAAGCATCTGACCAGCATCTCTGCTATTATCGAAAACAGAAGGATGTAATATACTTTTACTTCATTAATATTAGACAGCTGAGCACCGGGCAACAATCAACCTGGAACAAATCGTAGGAAAAGCCATATTTGTATATCCCACTTCTAATAAGGAAGATCAAGTATGTATCATAATTTATGACTGATAACCCCTGTGGTTAAGTTTTATATCCTAGAGAAATATCAAGCAATATTACTATAGTTTTTAAGGAAACTTTAAAATTTTTCTACTTGATGAATTCCACGTGAGAATAAAACTGAGTTGTCATTTTCAGAATATTCTAGTGCTCTGGTATTTAAAGGGTTAATGTATAGCACCCACATCTTTAAGTTACATGACTTTGGGTCTTTTACAATTATCATTTCCTTCTCTGTCACAGGATGGAAAAAGATACTATCATGTTCAGATAACTCTGATCTACGTGAGGATGTCAGTTTTTTAAGAATGAGAGATCTGGATTAAGTACACTCAAATTAGCACATCTGACAAAGTATGATAATTTTTAAAAAATAAAAGAGACTACTGGCAAATATAAGGGATTTGAACTAAGTCAAAAAGGGGAAAAGTTAATACTAAATGAATTCCCACTGTCTTTTTTCATATATAGCAATTAAAACTGCAAAAATGTGATGTCGTTTTTCTCAAATCCTTAAAAAAATACATGAATTAAAAAGATTTTTATGAGAACAAAGTTCTTTTCAACGTATCTTCAAAGGATGACCTTTCTTTAAAGCTAATTCTCCAAGAATTTTGAAGATGAATATATCAAGTCAAGATGATATATTTCAAAACATTTCAAAGAGTGTATTGGAAACAAGAAGCCTGTTGCTTTGGGTGAAAAAGTACAGTAAGTAGAGAATGGGTGGAGTGATCTTGGATTCCTCAGGAGCTGTTCCAGAGCCCCCAATACCTGTGTGTCCACCTGGCATTAAGCACCATGGAAGTGTTATAGAACTTTGAGAAGATGGCAAACTGTGCAAAATAGCTATAAAGATTTGGGGATTACATGCATTCACCCCTAAGAGCCCAGATAAAAGTCCTAATGCTAGAATACGATCTTTAGAGATGAGAGTTACTACTAATTTATTGAAAATCCACAAGGACCCGAGCAAAGAACAAAAAAATGGCTTTTGTTATGGATCTGGATTCAGAACTTTTCCTTTATTTTCCTGGAACCATGTATAAGCCAAAATAAAATCTGTTTATGGTCTAACAAGCCAAATAACAAGTAAAAATTTCTTAAACAAACAAAGAAATCACCCAAAACTAATAGTTGACTAGTAAATCTGTGTTCATTTTTATTACAAGTGCTAAAATCAAAGTGATCAAAAATAATCTTGACTTAAATGAAAATACTGGTGGTTAAAAATTCATTCTTCCATACATCTTAAACACAACTGTTAAAGTATGCTGTTAAAAAACAAGTATCAATTGCCCAACCCACATTTGCCAAACCAATCATTTTTATATTAAGCCTATAAATTAAGCTCTAATTTGGCAGAAAAGAGCTATCTACACTTAGGTTTTGTTCTGTGGGTTTAATTTGCAAAAGAAAATTCAACAAGTCTGGGGAGGGGAAATTCCACCTACTTTCGAGATCTTCCATATGTGCCTGAAGAGTTCTTGCAAGGTTAATAAACTAGAAACAATGCAGAGAGAAATACAGTACTTTAAATGTTGCAAATGGATCTGAAGAATTAGTATAGGAGATTCATTTCTACTTAAAATGTCTAACACCATTTTAATCCTTTAAATAGGGGTCTCCCCCCATATTAAAAATTACAACCTTAAGGGTTTTATGTAATTATTACTAATAATGTAGAAACCAGTTTAAAATTGGGAGCAGATACAGTATAACAACTTTATGCAATAGCATTGTTTTCCTATGTAACACTTCAAAAAACTTATAAAGGGGGAAAACAAGAAACAAAAAAACCTTTTATTAAAGCCTATGTTAACTGAAATTTATCTGCCTAAATTTGAAAGAAAAACTCTACCAATGACTTCCTTATGATTACCATCATTAATTTTTTTTACAAAGGTATGAATTCCATAGGCAGTATATGTTTTTTGTGGCTTATTTTCAAGAGATAAGACACCATTTTAGCAATTATTTTATAGCATTTGCTTAAACTAAGGGTTCATGGTTTCTGAAGTACTTAGAAGTTAAGAGATCTTTGCTTAAATTCTCAATGCTTTCAATAGTTTGTTCTCTTTACTCCTGATAAAAACTGTCAATTGGTTCACTGTTGCACAGTCCAAATGATGATAAAATACACAAAAGTATTTTATTAACTTAGTAGTAGTATTGTATTCACTGAACTTTTTAAAAATTAATTTTCAAAACACACTACACAATATAATTTGTCACTAAAAGGAACATTTATATAAAAAAGTTTGAAGGATGTTTTTTATGAACACAAGATATGAAGTGTTCAGAATGTTATAGTAAACAGCATTATTTCCTTACAAATACCTAAAAAACAGCAAGCCTAAATAGTACTTGGTTAAATAGTGTATACACAGTTAAGAGCAACAAGTCCATATCTTAAAGTTTATAACATGGACTCTTTAAAATAGTACACTTGTAATATTTTACAGGGTAACAACATAGAAGTTAATTTCCCATACTCTTGGCTTTTGGAGATCAATTTCAGGTTTCTGGGTTGGGTTGTAATGCTGTTTTTTTTGTTGTTGTTTTGTTTTTAATTTAGAAGAACTGTCTACAGCCATACCACCCTGAACACACACACCCAATCTTGTCTAAATTAACATTTTCCATTTTGGTCTGTTTTTCACTGAAATACATCCCAACTACTTTCAAGAACAAGAAAACTCCTCTAAATAGCTTTATGAAAATATTATACTGTTTGTTGTAGAAAGACAGCAATTTCTATTAAATTTATAGTATCTTTTTGGGGGGAGTGCTTTGAGACAGGGTCACGCTTTGTAGGACAAGCTGGCCTTGAACTCACACTGCTGTCCAGACAGGCCTCGAACTCACAGCAATCCTCCTGCATCCATCAGCCTTTCAAGCGCTAGAACTACAAGTGTGTACTACCATGCCCAGAATCTACAGTATCTATTTTTTAAAAAACATTTAAAACTAAGAGCTCCCTAAAAGAAATAGTATATAAACATATAAAACCATCTGCTTTCCAAGGCCAACATTTTGTATTCCACCCTCCCACTCCCCCACTCAAATATTACTTACTCGAACACGTGTGCTTGGTTCATTTGTATTTCCCATCATATCAGAAAAGCTTTGTTCACACAAGTGCAGTAACACAACTAGGTAGAGACCAGAGCTGATAAACTCGTACTCAGCCTTCAACAGAGAAGCAAACAGAAGAAAAGCAAAAGAAAAGAATGAAAAATCAGGATTGATTGCCATAATTTATTGATAAACTAGAGGAAGTGTACTCATATCCAGTTCCTAGTAAGGCATACAATGCCATCAACTAAAACAAGAAATAAAAGGCTGCCCTTTATAATTTCCTAAAATTTCACTAATGCTGCAAGACGGAATAGGTGTGAATATCCTCTAAAGCCTCAGAGTCTTCCTTTATGTAACAGTTTGTTAAAAAGCTTAACTTCTAAATCATCTGAGGGTAGAATGAATGTTTTGGTTTTCTAAAGTTCCTGACATTTCTTTTAACAGATGGCTACTAGCTATGTATATTTTTAAATTACCATTTAATTTATATTAAATTAATACATTACTATAATACCTATTCTCAAATAGCTCAAGTGTTTGTGTGATGGCAATTAGCTTAAAGGCCAACACTAAATACAAGATGCAATACAGATAACACTGTAAGTCATTATTAACATGGAAATTTTAATGAGTAAAGAGTTCACTGGTTTAAAAATGTCTTTTGCACCCTTGGTATTGGGGAATCAAACCCAGGGCCTCGCCTGTAGGCAGATACTCTGCCACTAAGCTACATAACAGCCCTGTTCTGTTGTTTTCAAGTTATGAATATAATGTAAAGTCTAATGTGTACTGTAACTATTATAGAGAAGAGGTAAATCGTACCCCTTTCATGCAATTAATTCATCTAACAGTAAGAATTATATGTTCTTGATACTAACTTTAGCAAGTAAGTGGTTATCCAATTCCAAGCAAATCTGAAATTTAGCCAGGTATGGTAACACAGACTTACAGTTCCAGCAGTCAGGCTGAGGCAGTAAGAACACTACAAATTCAAGGCCAACCTACACTAGAGAGTAAAACTTTGTCTCAAAAAACACAGAAAGAAATTTGAAATTCATCAAGTTTCTTTAAATGTTAAATTATTTTGATAACCTTTTAACTTTAAAAAGAAATTATCAAGAAAATTTTATAAATTTTTAAATGGTTATCATTTACAAAAGGTGAAATAAACTGTCAAACTAATCAACTGTTCAGTCCCTCAATTCCATGATCCATATAAAACTAGGAATGCCAGGAAACTTGCAGGCTGTTACTGTCTTTAAAGATATTTCTTCTTTTTTTTCTTTTTAAAGACAGGGTCTCACTATGTAGTTGAGACTGACCTAGAAATCACTATGTAGTCCAGGCTGGTCTCAAACTCACAGTGATCCTCCTGCTTCAGCCTCCTGAATGCTGGGATTGCAATGCATCACCATGCCCAGCTTTAATAGTATTTGTTAACACTTATAAATTATTTCAGAATAGGGTCATGAAAATGCAGTAAAAATCTTCCCTGAATGAAAACCAAAGAGATGAGACTGACCTAGAAATCACTATGTAGTCCAGGCTGGTCTCAAACTCACAGTGATCCTCCTGCTTCAGCCTCCTGAATGCTGGGATTGCAATGCATCACCATGCCCAGCTTTAATAGTATTTGTTAACACTTATAAATTATTTCAGAATAGGGTCATGAAAATGCAGTAAAAATCTTCCCTGAATGAAAACCAAAGAGATGGTTTTCACAGACAGAATGAACATCTAAAGGAAGACAGCAGGAGCAAATAATCCTCCTGAAACCTACTCTTGTTCTGAGAAAACAAAAACATTGGTATTTTTTCTGCATTATTTTCTTTCTATATACTTTTACCCCTGTTATTTAAAACAATGCTTAGCTTTCTATACAAACTCCTTGGGGATGTAATCCATTCTCTTGCTGAAAGTGATTTTCTTTTTGGACAACTGGCTCATCAGAGTTAAAATCATTTTATTGATATGAGAATAACAATTATATCAACTGCCTAATATTTCATCCTCTACATCAATGATTCTTTTTTTTGTTTGTTTTTTGAGACAGGGTCTCACTATGTAGTTGAGACTGATCTAGAACTATGTATCCCAGGCTGGTCTCGAACTCACAATGATCCTCCTGCCTCAGCCTCCCAAGTGCTGAGATTACTGGTGTGCACCACCACGCCTGGCTTATATCAATGATTCTTAAACTCTGACCTGAGTAATTTGTTTCAAGGATCTGGGAATCTCTAAAATTTTGTAATTTGTGCTCCCGTATTCTGTAAAAAGGGTCCATAGTTTTAATCAGATTTTCAAAGAGTACTCATAATTTTCATACATTTTAAAAGTAATGGCAGTTTTAGAAAGACATTATATTGTACAATTTCATTTATATGAAATATCATGAACAGGTAAATCCAAAAAACAGAACAGACTAGTCTACTTGTTGCTAGGGGTTAAGAAATGAGACTGAAGAGCAACTGCTTAACAGCTATAGGATTTTCTTCTGATGTGATCAAAATGTTTTGGAATGAAAGAGATGGTGGTTGCACAACACTGTAAATGTATTAACACTAATGAATTGTTCATTTAAAAATGGTTCTGGTGTTGTATGAACTTCACCTCCATGTAAAACTGGTGTCCATTATTCCTTCATTAAAAATGTTTTTCAAGCACTGCCTACATTTCCTTGCTATCACCTCTCCTTTCATAATAAATGGTAACACTTGAATACCTTGGCATTATAGTCACCCTTATTATCTCCTTAAACACATACCTTCTCTTCACAAAATTTTCTTCAGTAGGAAAAAGCATAGAGCTTGTTCATTCTATCATTTAAGCAAGAATCTCAAACACAGTTTTGGGGAAATAAGCTTGGCATGTCTACTTGGGGACTGTTTTCCTAAATTTTTATTATTTTTAGATTTAAGAAACATGACAAATTTTATCTTACTAAATTAAGAACCTATAACATGGATATTTGTCTTTCATTTAAAGAAAAAAAAAAAAGCCAGGTGTGGTGGTGCACACCTGTAATCCCAGCACTCAGGAGGCTGAGGCAGAAGGATCACTGTGAGTTTGAGACCATAGTGAGTTCCAGGTCAGTCTCAACTACACAGTGAGACCCTGTCTCAAAAAAAAAAAAAAAAAAAAAAAAAAAAAAAGAAAGTAAGAAAAGAATAATTATGGCATTATAGATACCTAATGCTGTAACAGAAAATTCTATTTAAAATATTTCATTGTTGGATTTCTGAACATGAATTCTTTTCTTCAAGAGCTGTCCTTTAAGCAGAGAATAGACACTTACCAAATTAGGCAAAATATACTAACTTGTTCATTTGCATGAGCTCTATGCAGTTCATGAATATCAAAGTCCTCCAGGTTAAGTTGCAACTTCTCTTTACAGAGTTCACAGGTGGTTACAGCCTCTAATGAAGAACCTTGGGAAAAACCAAATGGCATGCAAAACTTAGTTTTAAACTGACCTCATAAAATATTTTTCCTCATAGTTTTAGGTTTAAAATGCAGAAAATCTTGCAAGGGGAGGCTGGGAAGAAGGGGGAAGAGAACAGAGGGAGGAGATTATGTTACTTCAATACACCAGCGATGTTTCCTAAAATAGTAATCTGTAACAACCAATGTGCATGTCAGGTCCTGCCCTATGATATTTAAGCCTCCACCCATAATTTAGATGTCTTTTCTCCCTCCCAGATACTTACATGACCTTATAATTATGGGAAGCTGACAGAAGCAATGGAATGTCATCTGTATTTCCTACTTCCTCTCCAAGTACCTTGATTTGATGCCATAAAAACAATGTTTAAAGATGTATCATCTCAACTAGTTACATACTCAGGCCAGTATCTTTGATGTGACAGCATACACCTATTTTGTGTAGTTTAGAATGTACCTCCCTGCTTCCTAGGTGAGGAATAAAAGGAATCCACCTCTGTCCAGATAAAACAATAGCTCCTCAGGGGCTAGGGGAATACCTCAGTGGTAGAGTGCTTGCCTAGCATATGTGAGGGCATGGCTTCAATCCCCAGCACAGAAAACAAAAGGCCACAGTTCTTTTCAGCCATAAAAGTAAATAAATCCTAATATATGCTAAAAACATGGCTGAACTTTGGAAAAACTATGCTAAGTGGTATAGGCAGATGCAAAAGGATGAACATTATTCTATTTACATGACATATCTAAAATAAACAAATTCAGGGGCCAGGGATTTAGCTCATTGGTTCTGCTGCCTGCTTGGCAAGCACAAGGACCTGAGTTCGATCCCTGGTACCTAAATAAATAAATAAATAAATAAATAAAATAAACAAACAAATTCAGAGACAGAAAATGGATCAGAAGCTACCACAATCAGGAGAAGAGCAGACAGTGAGAACTTAGTGGATATAATTTCTATCTGGGGTAATGAAATTTAAAAAATGGATATGAGAGGCAGAAGCAGGAGCACTGCTACGAGTTTGAGACCAGCTTGAACTACATAGTGAGCTCCTGTCACAAAATTTTTAAAAAAAAGTAGCAACATAGTGATACAATGTTCTGAATGTAGTGAATGCCACTGAACTGTATACTTAAAAATTGTCAAAACGGCGGCTCGGGATTTAGCTAAATGGTTTTGGCGCCTGCCTTGAAAGCACAAGAACCTGAGTTTCATCCCCGGTACCAAAAATAAACAGACAAAAAGTGGTCAAAACAGCAAATTTTATTTTATTCACATTAAACCACAATTTTTGGTTTTGTTTTTAAACAAGAGTGACCTGTGTTCCATATGTACCCCAAAACTGATTATGATAAACTTCTGGTTTGATATAGTAGGTGGTATCCTATCTAATTAAAACAGGCAGCCTTCTCCTCCTTTATTTTTAGATATGGTTTCCAAACAAAAAATGTCCTAAATAAGATGAGTAACAGGCAAAAGGTTTAAATTCAATTGAACTCACATTTGTTGAGTGATTGCTCTGTATCAAGCAATAGAGGTTTTGGAGATTCAGAAATGAGTAAACAGCCTTTGTCTTTAAAGAGCACATAAAAATCTCATTGACTACTGTTATTTAACAGCAACAGTATTTAAAAAGAATAAAATTTAGCATAAATTCCAGTAGCTCCCCAGTAGTAGTAATTTGTATGCATTTTCTAGAAAATAGGTTAAAAAGTTAATATGAAATATGGTATGCTGTCTCAAAATGAGCTATAGTCAAACTACATCAGTTTTCACTATACATTCAAACACCTTTTATAGTGGTCCCATAAGAATATAAAAGAGGCCAGGTGTGGTGAAACAAGCTATAATCTCACCACTCTAGGAACTAAGGCAGGAGGATCACCCAAAGTTTGGGTCCAGTCTGGACAACTTAGAGAAACCCTGTCTCAAAATCAAAAAAGGTCCTGGATTCAATCTGCAGTACCATCAAACATGTCTGTATGTGTGCATGTGTGCGTGCATGCATGTGTATATGAATAGCAGATGAAAAATTCCTATTGCCTAGCACAGTGGTCTAAAGTAAGAGCACAATGCACTGAGTTTGTGGAAATGCTGATATAAACTAAACTACTGCATTGCTAGTTATATAAAAGTAAAATGCATAGGATTATGCATACTATATAACACTTAATAATTATGCTATTGGTTTATGAATTTACTGTATCATTTTAATATTATACTCATTAAAAAAGTATACCATAAAAATGGTAAGCTATTTTCCCCTGGCAGCACCATTGTTTACTGTGTCTCTTTACTGCAATATTTTGTTTGATGTTGTGTTTTATCAGGAACCTTAGAAAAATAAGCTGTACCACACACATACACACAAGCATACAAACATAGACATACACACAATATAGTATCAGTGTATAGGATACCTCTAAATTTGTGTGAATATACTCTATATTTGGAGAAAATCACCTAATGCATTTCTCAGATCCTATGTGTCATTAAGTGTATAGGGCTTTTCAAGTGTATGAACAAAACAAAATCCTGGTTTTCTTTTAAGTAGTCTAACATTTTTTTGAAGCTTCTAAAATAGTTTAATTTTTAAAAAATACTTTACTACTGAACTAAATTTAGCATAAATCCTTTTATGACCTGATGACTATGAGATATTTAAAAGATTTTATCCGATATTTCATAAAAGTATTTTGATTCAGAAACAGGAAGAGTATGATCATGAACTAAGGACCACGTAGGTGATTTTTTGGGTAACTTCTTTTGTTAGAACTTCCCTTCTATGGAATAAAGGCTTGGCAAAAGTCTTATTTTAAAGGCCATGAAGAGCTGGAAACAACTCATTTACTCTTACATTCCTTAAGCAGGATTCTTTCCATTACACCCCATTCCATTCAAGAAGCCCTGACTGCATCTGCCCCAAATTTAGTAAACTAGACTTGTTTTATAAATATCTTTGTTTTATGTATCTGTAAGCTTAGTAATACATGTATTGTAGCTACCTACTAAATGTTTACATCAATCTACCAGAATCAATTTTCCACCAAATAGGGTCTTTGAGTAAGTATGAAAAGGCTTCCACTATCAGGAAAGCTCAACTGTTGAAATCAATATATTCACTTGACTATATCTAAAATAATAATAATAATAATGATGTATTATGCCCTTATAAACATAATTCCCATCTGTTGATTATATACCATGTACTTGGTACAGTGTTAAACCGTAAATGTCACTGACATTCAAAGTAACTGCATAAGGTATACTCAGTTTCAAGTATGATGGTAGGGAAGACCAGCCCTATTTTTAGGGTGGATTTGAATCACCTGCATTTTTTTAAAAGTCCAGTGGATGACTCTGAATAGCAACCAGCTTTAGAATCAATGTTATGAAACATGCTCAAAGGGATGGGGACACAGGTTCAATGACTAAATGCTTGCCTGGCATGCACAAGGGGCTGGGTTCATTTCCTAGCACCATAAAACTAAACAAAAGCAAGCTCAAGATCCTATAGCTTGCTCAGTGAAGCTAATATTTCAATCTAGTACTGTGAAAATCCAAAAGGCCAGTGACCTTAACAAATAAACTATTATACTTTCCCTTCCACATCAACACTAATAATCTAATTGCCAATGTATCGGAAATTGAGTAAAGCTGTTCTTCACTCTGTTAGCAATTAACATTGCTGGGCCCTTATTCAATGTCAAGAATCATGCTAAGCATTTTATGTGCAATGAATCTATCATTTTTAATCCTAACAACATCCCTGTGCAGTGACTAATAAAGCCTATGAGTTGACTAGAACAAACAAGAGCCAAAAGAACAGGTCCAAAAGTCCAAGAGGCTGAGGCTCAGAGTAGCTTAGAAGGGATACTGCCCCCCGCCCCAATTCTCCAGGGTTGGCTTTTGCATATTTACTGTCAACATCAAAGAAGTTGCAGAAGTTTCACAATAGCACTTTAATCTCCAGTTTGAACAGATTACCTAACTCCTCCAGTAGATTATGAAAATTAAAATTAGTGCCATCACACCATACAACCTATTTGCCTGGGTCACCAACGTATATTCATCAGACTCTTAATCTCTCACACATCTATGTACATTTATTGATCTTACCTAAGTTCCCAGCCTTCTCACCCTACTAGTCACTTGTACTATGTCCTCTGGGACTCAATTTACTAATCATTAAGTTCCTCTGGTGGCATATGCTTGTAATCCCAGCACTCTGGAGAATAAGGCAGGATTCCAGTTGAGTCCAACTGGACTTAACAAGACCTCAAAATTTCAAAAAGGAGGATGTAGCTCAGTGTGAAAAACCTGAGTTCAGGGCCAGGGGAGGGGGCCCTGGGTTCAATCCCCAGCATGGCAAAAATCAACAAAAACTAACAACCATTTTTTGTGTACTCTCTACATTCTTGTCTGAGCCACAGCATATCCCCAAATGATACATTCATTTCTAATTTTTTCGTATAGCTTTTGTATGTCATAATGAAGTAAAAACAGAAAACCTCCCTTTTCAAATCTTAAGTAATGTTAGCATTCATTATATTAGTAACTTTAGTAACTGGCTTGCCGCCATCTTCTTTACCAACTTGCTTCTTGATTATTTCACTGCCCACTTTGAACATTCACTTTGGATGTTAACTTATTCAAAATCTTTGCTTCCAATATTATCCCTTCCCTATTTAGCTACCAACTCTAAGGTCATACCCTTAATCACTTACTACACTGCACTATCCCTAGCATCCTCTTATCCTGACTACCTACAAAGTATCATTCTGCTTCAACTCTCTTCAATGTCACTGAGACTCAAAAGAAATTGACTACCACTTTCTCCCTATCAACTTCAAGTCTTTATTCACTTTTTAATTTTAAATTTCTACATTCACTATAGTTATATCCCTACAGATATCCTTAATTTTCTTCATTATATTTATCCAGCAAAGGTCCCAAGACAAATCAAATTCAGTCCATGTCTATATACAATAATATGTAAACTTCTTTTAAAAAACTTACATGTCAGATCAGTGTCACCGGGAAAGATGTTAAAAATGTAAATCCTTGCAGGCCAGAAGTAGTGGGCATGTCTATAATCCCAGCTATTTGGGAGGCTGAGCCAGTATCACAAGTCTGAGTTCAACGTGGTCAATTTAGTGAGAACTTGTCTCAAAAAATAAAAAGGGCTGGGAATGTAGCCTAGTGCAATTAACAAGATGATTCTGATGCCTGTCCAAGTTCCAGAACACTGTCCTAAGGGATTACCGCAGTTTCCATGTAAGCGGGAGTATGGCCATTTTAATATTTCCATATCTTCTAACTTTCCTGAAGTAAGCATATAATGTTCAACTGATATAAAAAATATTCAATGCAATGTATACATGCACCGAAACATCACATTTTATCCTAGAAATCCATACAATTATCAATTTTTGAGTTTTTAAAAATAAAAATTCAAAAAGAAAAAAATTTGAAAAGAAAAAAAATGCGTGTCTCACTTTAAATGCTTTTCTTTCCCTTTCTCCCTTCTATGCCACCCCATCTTTCTCCTTTCCTGGGCTGGGGAATCAAGCCCAGGGCCTTGTACATGTTAGGCAAGCACTCTACTACTCTAACCACTCTACTGCTTAGCTATACCCCCAGCCCTACAAACATTTTTATAGACATTGATACCTGGGAATCCTATTGTCTTTAGGATGGTATTTTTACCATACCTCAAACCTCCTAACCTGTCCCCCAATCAGCTAAAGACCATACCTACAAAAATTCAAGCATTTACATAGGAAGCCATGCATCTTCCTACCAAAGCAATAAACTGATTAACACCAATATCAATGTATATTAGTTTCTATAAATAAATTTCAATTAAAGAATAATCATAAATCTGTACTCTGGATCCACCTTTTTCTCCTTTACACAAATTATTTTTCTCTCCTCTGGATTCTCAAAAACATGCACAAATTTGTTAAGCAAAATACATACATACGCATCTTTTATAAACATTTTGAAAACAAAACACGAAAAGGTAAATCTTACCAGAGTTAATTTTGGCCTGTAACCATTTTTTCATACACTCTTGGTGGACATACTGTAAACTTCCTGTGCACTTGCACGGTTCTATCAGCAAATTAGATGATGATGCAGCTGCCATCTGACAAATTCTACATAAATCACCTTCTTCTTCTTCAGAGTCCTCTAAAAGGAGGCTGTAAAAAAAAAAAAGTATATTTTCCAAACAGGCTGTCATAACTTAGCCTGTCATTTCCAGATCTATTATCATCCAAGACATTCTTGTCTACTTACACTAGGTAGAAAAAAGCAAACAGTTAATAACAACAAAACAAAAATAGCAAAAAGTAACCAACATGAAAGACCATTTTATTGATAATAAAAATTATAAGAATTTCAAAATAAAATGAAATAGGCTAGCCTATCATTTATCTTCATATGATTTAAATAATTCTGTCCTTAGTAGCAGTTTAAGTTCCCTATTTTTCACAATACAAAAATGGAAAACACACAAACTCTTGCAAAATAATACAAAAATACTGTTTTAAAACTAAACAGATTAGTACTGGCTTAGTTTGTTTCTCTTTTTAAAGATCACTAATGCTTTGCCCTTTAACTATTATATGCAAATTAACCTAATTTTAAGGAAAAGAAATAATTATTATATTCTTAGGCAGACAGTTTATAATCTGAGGAAGTTGCTATAATAAGCAAACACTAAAACTAACACTACCAGGGTAGAGTAAATCTCTCTGTATAAGGAAGGAAAGTAATAGGCTTAAAAGCAGGAAAACTGTTACAATAAAATCTGTCCTATATAAAAGGAAAAATGGAGTACAATAGCCCAATATCTCAGAAAATGTGTAAAACCTTCATTCATGACCAGAAAACTGGATCTGAACCTATTTTATTTTTAAAGTACAAAAATATCTAAAAAGGTAACTATGCTTCCCAACAATTCTATTAATTATTCTATTATTAGGCCTTTGTGAAAACTATCCCCTGGCCTTCTTGTATTTTACTTGTATTGTTCTATCCCATTTTATCATAAAAATTATTTTAATTTAGAACTGGACTAACATAACAAAACCAATAGTCAAGTTGGGACTATTTGGTCTTTCTTTTCACTCCTGTCAATCACATTTATGCAACGTAAGACTGTGGAAAATATTTCTTTTGTGTATTTTTATATAAGCTCTGAATATGAAGTGTTATTTTTGTTCCTAAATCCTAACATATATAGATATTCAGTATACAGATTTTAAAAACAATAAACTTTTCTAATCTCAATTTACTACATTCTATAAAAAGATGTCAAACATAAGGAAATAGTAAACAAATCAACTTACTAAAAAAAGATACATTTATTGGTAAACCAATCTCATTTAGCAGTAGTCTAAGCAAGGAATAGGGTAAAAGATTAAGATTTTCCCATGTGTCTATTTATCCAAAGTTGGTTAAAAAAACAACAACAAAAAAAAAACTCTAGCCATTTCTTGATACAATTCACACCTCTAGTATCTACCTCCTTACTAAATTATCCAAACATCTATTTTGAGACAATAACTTCATCAGGATATAAACTTTAAGGAAAAAATTTCAGTTGTCAATTTTATGAAAAGTCATTTAAAAGCAAAGAATTCTTTCTCTAATTTAGTCTAGGGTTACAGACAAGGGAATACTCAAATTTACCTCTCTTTTATTTTCTGCAGTCTTTCTGGATCTCTTGAAGGTGCATTTTTGGTTTTATCATTTTTTCCATCAGATGAATTCCAACCTGAAGGAATGATATCTACAGTAATCATGACATTGTCAGTCAAATTATCTCCGAGGGCTGGGGGGACTGCAAATCGGAATAAAGAACCAGGAAGAATTCCTGTTATCCCTCTATTTCTTCCACCTTGAGTTGAATCTGATATGGAGCCACCTGTAGAGGCACTGCTTGATGCTCCTGATGCTTGTGCTCTGTTAGCAGCAGCCCCAAGGGGATCACTCTGTGCTTCAAGGTGAACAACTTCATTTGATTCTCTTCTAAAAATATGAGATCTAGACGGTCCATCAGAGGTAGTTATCCTTGAAGATTCATCTCTTCCCTCTCTTCTCCTTCTAGAGAACAAAGGTGTGCATCTATTTCTAAGTGAGGAAGATAACCATGGACCTGTATTTCTACTTTCAGATTCATGGTTGAAATTTTCTGAATCTGGCTCAGAGTTATGATTCTGGCTAGATGACAAACCCCATCTTCGCCTAAGAAATCGAAATCCCTGAGAAGCTTCAGTTGCCCTATTATAGTTAACTTCAGAAGTTGCTGCATTACCCCGAGACTGTGATGTCAAGATTCCTGGAGAAGTATAAGAGTTTTCAGAATTCAATGATCTTGTATTCAAGGAATCTTGACTAGATCTTCGTGAAAAAAAAGTAGATGACATGCTAGATGCTATACGCGACAGCAACCTCCTGGTCGTGCGCCTACCTTCACTGTCAGAAGATTCTTGAAATGATCTCTGAGATGAACCAATCCTTTCTGAATTGCTTACAGTTGGGGTTTCATTTCTATTTGAAAAATAAGAAAATCCAGGGTGAATACTGCTTCGGAGAGATTCTGATTCTCTTGAAGAAAAACCTGACCTCAAAGAATTTCTACTGGAGTCCCTGTAACTTGGTACTGTCTGATGTTCAGAAGGCAATTGGTGGTTTGTGGATGATGTATTCAACTGTAAAGGGCTCACTGAGTTCTCTTTTGGTCTTGCTCCCTGTGAGTATGAAGAAGGAACTCTGTCTTGAACATCTATTTTTGAAAGGAAGGAAAAGTAACCAATTATATGAAATAATGAATACTAATAAGTTTGCATTTATTAACTTCTTATAGCTAAAATGAAACACTAAGATTAAAACTGAATACTGCTGTCTTACAAGGAGCTAAATTATTCTTATAGAAAAACCATAAAATATATTTATTCCTGTTTGTGAAATCCAGGTAAAAATATGAGGTAAAGCCAGTATTACAAATTCAAATGAAAGAATATTAAGAGCCTATAAAAAGCAACTAGTTGATGAAGATGAACTTGAATTTACTAATCAGAAACTGATTCAGTAGAATGTCTAACCTTGATACAAAATTGTAAATAGACCAATTAATACAATGCAAATGTATCAATGATTAATCACATAATCACCCTAGGGAAACTGAGTTTTGGAGATTCTTCTTACTCTATGCTGCAAGTATAAAAGTTATTTTATGTAAATATTATCATCCTTGCAATTAACAGGGAAAGATTTCCATAATCTTGTCTTCTAAGGTAATAACAGTAGTTCTTGACTTGGTTTTTCATCAGATACACTTTTGTTTTTTAACCCTGGCTCTAAATTTTGAGCCAGAATGGACTCTGGCATCTTTATTTAAAAAATGCAGTTAAACTGGAAGTTTGACCTTCAATAGGATGAGAAACAACTATAAAATTCCTTCATGAAGACGACTCTGCCATTCACTTTTACTTCTGCCTATTTTATCTGTGAATTTTGCTCAGTATGTTTTTCTTTGAAGTTACTGTGACTGTTGATTTGTGAAATGCTTAAGTCTACGTACAGTGGTAAGAAATTAGTCTTCTTTATATCAATTTAAGAAAATGCGGTCTTTTTAATATCAATTTAATGAAAATAAAGGCATACTCATATTACAGTACTTCTAAATTATGCCTTAAAAATGGTAATTTCAAGTTAGTTATTTTAGCATTTAATTAGAAATACTTATTAAACTGTGTATGATAATTATATGTATTATTAATATCTGAGCATATCTTTATCTTGTATGTTACTCTGTAAAAATCTGAATATTCATGGCTGTTTCATTTTTTAAAGTAAACAAAAAAGTTATTAGAAAACATGTTATTAAGATTAATTTTATTTATTCCTATTTAATTTTGACAAACATAAAAGGAAAATCTAACTTTAGATAAGCTATACTTAATGGAGTTTATACATACATGATGAAGTTGTGAAATCACCACTTCGATGACTATAATCCATAAGATTACTAATGGAAGAATCTCTTCTCCTCTCCAAATCTCTCCTCTCTCTCATTAAGTCTGTTCCAAATGAACCAAGTACCATTGATGAAGATCTGGGAACTTGACCATGCCTCCATGAAGAATCTTAAAATAATTGAAGAAATTTTACTTCAGAAAAGTTTTTAAGTTTTCTTTTTTTTTTTAGGACCAGAGATCAAAGTCGGGCCCTTGCGCTTGCGAAGCAGGTAGTAGAACCACTGAGCCAAATCCCTAGCCCAGTTTTTAAGATTTTGGATGATACTAAATCTTCAGTAACACAGAGAGAGGTTACTGTGATTTATTATGATTCTCAGTTACACAACTGCAATCAAAAGCAAAATTCAGCAAAATTTAAAAGTATTCAGCGGTGAACTAATTATAAAATAGTTTCCCACCCAACAATAGCAGTAGCAGCAGCAGCAGCAGCATTGTTATTGTTGTAGGTGAGGATTAAACTCAAGGCCTGGCCTGAAACGTGCATGCTAAACATTAAACACATTCTTTTTTTTTGAGATAGGGTCTCACTATGTAGTTGAGACTGACCTGGAACTTAACTATGTAGTCAAGGCTGGTCTTGAACTCACAGAGATCCTCCTGCCTCAGCCTCCCAAGTGCTGGGATTACAGGCATGGGCGCCCGGCTATTAAACACATTCTTAACTCTAGGACCTACATTCATGTATACTTTCACCATTTCAGGTCACTCTTCATAATATATGACAATAAGATGTCAACATAAAGTAAAATGACCATAGATCAAAAATGCAAAGCATTTTTTTAAATTGCAGAATTTCACAAAAAGTCAGTTAAAGAAATGATGAAAAACTTCCAAAATCAAAATTGAAGCTTTCTAGATATGGTAAATGAATTGTATTTTACAACTGTATCTGGGGGAAAAAAATACAGGACTTTTCTTGCTGGGGATTAAGCTCAAGAACTGTGCATGCTAAGCTTGCACTTCTCTACTGAACTATATATCCTTAGTGTCAGAAATACTTTGTAGCTACCATATCTGGTTCATTCTTTAATCAGAGTTAATGATTAATGTATTATCTAATTCTGATCTTAATTTTAGTAGATATTTCATTTAAAAAAATTACATCTCAAGCCTCTTGTCCCCTATTTATCTTGAAAGTTTAGTTCTTCCTGAATTCCAAAACTCTTAATAATTTATCTCTAAAGGAAATGGCTCAGTGTATTGGATGCTATGCCTTTACATAGTGGAACAGTGGTTTTTGTCTACAAAGTTAAGGCTAGTATGTTCTTACCCATCACACTACTTTAAAAATCTTTCAGATGGGCAGGTCTTTCCCCTGGCAATCCTTCCTAGAAAAATTGAAAGGAATTGCTTACACTGATACTATTGGCAATACATAACCATTTTAAAAATACTGTTTCAAAATTGTAGTACCAGAAATTTTTCCTCCCTTTATAAAAAATTTGGTTACTAGCTAAAATTTCATTTAAAAATCAATGTATGTAAGGAAGAAATCCCTTACTCTCTCAACACTGAAAGCACTAAAAGGATCACTATCAGCATCCTAGAGTAACTTGTCTAATATCACTCATTTACTTAAGTGGCTAGAATCATGACTTTCTAATTCTTGTATAGGACTCTTAAGAGGGACAACACCAGTTTTTTTCCTTCAGTGAAGAGTTTCTGTGACTTCTGAAAACAAGCATCATTTTCAAAAAATTTACTAACGAAATGCTTTTTTACTAAGGACATTCGAGAGATGCAGATGAAAACAACACTGAAATTCCACCTCACTCCAGAAAGAATGGCTGCTATCAAGAAGTCAACCAACAAATGCTGGTGGGTTGTAGGGAGAAAGGAACCCTTCTCTACTGCTGAAGGGAGCGCAGAATGATACAACCACTCTGGAAATCAATATGGGATTCCTCAAAAAACTAGGAGTAGAGGGATTTGACCCAGCTATTCCCCTGCTGTGTATCTTCCCAAAAGAATTAAGAGTCATAACACAGCGATATATGTGCATATGCACACCCATGTTTATAGTAGGAGAGTTTGCAATAGCTAACACTTAAAAACAGCCCAATTACCCAGCAAATGGAGCCTGGATAAAGAAGATGTATGTGGTTTTTCTATAAAATGGAGTACTACTCAGTCATAAAGAATGAGAAACTAGTCATTTATAGCTAAATAGATGCACATTGAGGCCATATTCTTAAGTGAAATAAACAGGACACACATGTATGTGTAAATACCGAACAGTTTTTCTGGTGCGAGAAACTGAAAGTGTAACTAAGAATAAAATGTATAATAGATAATGTGAAATAAGAAGAAAAGGTCTAAAGGGGAAGGGGACTCTGGAGGAGTAGCAGAAAGGAAAGAAGGGAAAGGAAAAAATGTAAACAGGGATGGGTGGAGAGTGTGAAGAGCAGGGAAATGGGGAAAAAAATAAGAACCAAGTTATATCACGTAAATGCACCAATGAACTTAATGGATAATAACTGTTTATTCCCACAAATACCAAAATTACCAGTAGGTTTGGCTTTCCTTGTAACACTTAAAATGTATCTTCTACAGGGCAGGGGATGTAGTTCAGTGGCACTATACCTGCCTGGCAAGTTCAAGGTCTTAAGCTTGATCCCCAGCACCAAAAACAAACAAACAAACAAACAAACACCACAAAACTATCTTGCATAAATACAGGGGACTTTTACTAATTTGAATCCAGGACCTCACACATATTAGGCAAGTATTCTACCATTGAGCTATATCCCCAGCCCATACCACCCATAATTAAATTAAATATCCTATTTATTATATATAGGGTATTTGCACCAAACCAAAAACAAATTATGCTATATCACAGAAAAAAGGTTTCAGTCCAAAGTACATATGCCATGGCCTTTACAGAAATTGAGTAATTCTTACCTGATACTGCATTTAAACCATTTCCAATATTTCTCACAGCTGAGGTAGATGTACAGTTTGAACAAGAAAGCTTAGGTCTTTTCGAATCATGATCCCGTTGCTGGTTTTGTGATCTTGCTCGTGCTCCCTGAGTTATCTCTGATTCACTATACCATGTAGATTGAAATGGTGATGCAGATGCTGATGTAGGCTGTAAATTAAACATGCTTTTAAAGAAACAGCAAAATGCTTGCATTCAATATGAAATCTAACCTACAATGCTCTAATTAACTTCCAAGGAACCTGTTTATTCCCACAAATACCAATTTTCTACAACGTTCTTTTTTTCTTAGACTTTTGTTCACTTCTACCTATTTATCCCTTTACTATATACTGTCATTGTATTTTGCTGGACTATCAACCTAAATCCTCTCCATAACTCTACACACACTTGGTTATGAAAGACTGAAGAGCAAAAACTTTTACAGTAATTTTTTGTGACTTAATATTTCAATCTTCTGAGACACCTGTTTCCGCTTCTTAAAAATAAGCAGAACACTCAAAAAGGCACGGATATAGACATTTATTACCAATACCCTAAAACAAAAATGAGATTATTTTCAGTAATAAAAGTCATTCTTGGGATGGGGATGTAGCTCACTGGAGAGTACCTGCTGATAGCATGTAAAGGCCCTTAGTTTACCCACACACACAGAGAAACTTTGTTTCTGATTCTTAGTCTCAGAAATATAGTGAGACAATACTAATGAGTAGTGCCTTAAAAGTAAGAAACCTGGGCCACGAGTGGGGGCACACATCTGTAACCAAAGTACTTGGAAGGCTGACACAGGAGGATCACTGCCAATTTTGAGGACAGTCTGGGATACAAGGTGAGTTTAAGGCTAGCCTGAACTACAACGCGAGACCCTGCCTCAAAAACAAAACTAAACAAGACAATAGAACACAACAACTAAAACAAAAGAAGTCCTAGCACGTAAAATTTATTAACCAGTAGAATCAAGAAACTAAAACAAGTTCTTACCTACAAACATTACCTGTTTTCTCTTTTAACATAGAAATATATAAGCATAAAACAACTTATAACAAATGTTGCTCAGGTACAAACTTTTACTAAGTATTTAAATGGTTAAGGAGTTCACTTAAAATGCATGTAGTCTACTTAAATATAGCTTTAGATAAGATAATATTTAAATCACAATTATTAAAACTGTTCTATTAATTATTTTTAATTAGTGCATGTTTGTACCACAGAAGACTGACGTTTGTTTGGGGGAATTGGTACATGCACGTAACATATCTTTATCATTTTCAATCCCTTTATCCTCCTCACCCTTTTCTCATCTCACACCTTTCCCCGTATGAGTCTGCCTTATAGTTTCATATCATTTCTTGTATTATTTATACTTCTGATTTCTCATATAAAACAAACATGAGTTTATTCACTTAACACAACAGTCTTCCAATTCTAATTGATTTTCCTGCAGATGACAAAATTTTATTCTTTATGGCTGTATAATATTCTTTCAGCTGCGTTAAATGGTTATTTTTAGTTTTGGTTTTTTCAAGTTTTTACATAGTGGTTTTACTAGTTAACATTCCCACCAATAATATAGGAGAGTTCTTTTTTGCCAACATCCTGGCCAGTGCTATTTCTCACGTTCTGGCAAACAGCTATTCTGATTGGGGTTAGATGGAATCTCAAAATTGCTTTGATTTAATTCCCTTAATAGCTAAAGATAATGAGCCCCCCCAACATGTATTTATTGGCCATTTTTATTACTTTTTTTCCTGGTCTGGGGATTGAACTCACTTGTGAGGCAGGCGCAGCACCACTGTATACTAATTTTTTGAGAAATATCCATTTCATTTGCCCAGTTTTTCACTGGGTCATTTGTTTTGGGGGGAGTTTGAGATCTATATATATTCTAGGTATTAGTTCTCTAGTACAAGTAGCTGGCAAAATATTTTTCCCATCCTACAGAATGTCACTTCATTTATTTGCTATCCAGAAATGTTTTAATTTGATATAGTACATTTGTTGATTTTTGGTATTACTTCCCTGTGTTTTAAGAGTTTTCTTTTCAGGTTTTGCCTGTGCTTATGGATTCAAGTGTTTATCCTATGTTATCTACCAGCAATTTCAAAGTTTAAGTCGTTGATCTATTTTGCTATATGTATGTTTTGTGCAAATACCACATTGTTTTTATTGTTATAGATTTGTAGGATAACTCAAAACCCAACATTATGATGCTGCCAGCTTTGCTTTTTTTTTTGCTCGGAACGGCTTTGACTCATTTTGTTTTTTCTAATTCTATATGACATTTTCTTTCTTGATGAGTTTATTTTTGATGTACAGGAACACTAGTGATCTTCGTGTGTTGATTTTGCATCCTGTACCTTTATTTTCCCACCAGTTCTGAGGATTGAGCCCAGTATTGAGCCTTCACAGTGAGCCACACACCCATCACTTTATTCTTGTTTTATTTTGAGACAAAATTTCAGTAAGTCATTAATGGTCCAGGCTGGGCTTAAACTTGCAACCTTCCTGCTTCAGCCTCCTGGGGAGCTGGGATTAAAAGTATGTGCCACCATGTCCAGCTTTGGCATTCTATTATTTTACAGGAACTTGTTCTTTGCCAAGTTCTTACTTGAAAATACACATAAATTTGGCATATAATCTCTACAATGCTTGGAAAGAGTTAAGGAATGAAAGTATAAAATAAAGCATAACAGAGAACTCTAGAGCATGGATAACAAATAAATAATAATATAAGCAAATATTTAACAGAAGGTATGTGGGAAATTTTATAGGAAAGAATTTATGTCTGAGGGAAGCAGTGGTCAGGCAAATTAAAGACATTATAGACAGACTACAAAATAATGTAATTATAAACCACTTTACTATTAATTTCTAAAACATTACTACTTGATCTATTATGCTTCAATTTCAAAGAAGCACATTGCATTCATTCAGAAAATACATCAGCATGTGGTTAACAATGGAAAATAAACTTTGTACATACTGTGAGATTTCCCTTGCCTTAAAATGGCTGCCACATAAAATAGCAGCCTCCATGTTAAAATATGGCTTCTCCCAACAAAGGACAGGTTTCTTCTTCCCATCATGCCTCTTCTCCTATCAAGAGAGTAAACTAATACTTGCTACCTCCTAGCAGCTGGCGATGTCACAGGCTCCTCCAATCCTTAATGCTACCTCATTCAACTCCACCCTATCTCAGGTTAACCCCACCCAGCTCCTATAAAAGAAGCTCACTGTTCTGCCATGCTGCTTTTCCTTTGTTAGGAGACAGCCTGGTAGATACTCCTCATAATAAAGGCTTGTTGAGGTCCTGGTCTGGTCCTGGTTTTTAGATTCTTTTACCTAACACATATATGGAAAAATAAAAGATGTAATAGGAATATGTGAGATCAAGATTACACCAATCCTTTACAGCACTCTCAGCTTAGCATAAACTTGGCCTCACAAACATTCTGTACTGTACAGTTTGTATTGTGGAGTACTGTCCTCCACAGAGACACAATCAAAGTAATCCTTACAACCTAATCTTGCTTGGGATTGAATGCAGAGCCTCATACATGCTAAGCACACATTCTACCACAGGGTGAAAAACCCTCAACTGGATTACTAATTACCCTCAACTAATATGGTAATTGTGTAACATTAAAAGTACACTATTTTAAAGAATATGGCTTCTAGGGCCAGGGATTTAGCTCAGTCGTGCCACTGCCTTCCTTGCAAGTGCAAGGTCATGAGTTCAATCCCCACACCAAAAAACAAAACAAAACAAAAAACAAAGAATATGGATTCTAAATAATATGCAATAACAACACCATTCCACCAGTTTCTTGTACAAAGGCAGAGAAGTCAAATGTGCTATTTAGAAGGAAAGTTTTTGGTCTTTGAAAAACTGTCCACACTGACCATTTTAGTCAAATTTATACTTAAACTGATATTTTAAATTTCTCAAGTCTTTAGAAAATGTTTTATGTAAGGCCACAATCTCTTATCCATAATTTTGAAGTTCATAAATTTAAAAATCAGACCATTTATTTTGCTACTACTATGTTTTGAATTAAAATGTTACCTGATACTCAGAATCCAGTCTAAAAGAAGAGTCTCTTGAGTGGCAGTTATCATTTAAACTACTTCCTCTGCTTCCAGACATCATCCTAGCACTTAAAGAGCTAGAGGGTGGAACAGAAATTCTTCTTGGAATCCTTGAAGGTTTAGACTCCATTCTTAAAGGTGCCTGTGAAATGAAAATTTGTGTTAATTGCCTTTAGGAAAACATGCAAGCCTTTAATTTTGAATCCTCCTTAATCATCAGCTCAAATTAGGAACTACCATAAAAGTAACTGAATCTAATAAAGTACACAGTGCTTCTCTTCCTAAAGGGAGAGGTATAAAGTCAACCAAGATTTGCTATAGTCAAAAGTGCAGTAAGAGCGGGGTGTGGTGGCACATGCCTGTAATCCCAGCACTTGGGAGGCTGAGGCAGGAGGATCACTGTGAGTTCAAAACCAGCCTGGGCTACATAGTGAGTTCCAGGTCAGTCTCAATTTCAACTACATAGTGAGACCCTGTCTCAAAAAAGCCAAAAACCAAAAACCAACAAACAAAAAAAACTGCAGTAAAAAACTTTGAGGCTATTGTTTTCAGTCTTTTTTTTTTTTTTTTTTTTACTCAAATATATCTCTATATAAAATCCTGCATGACCATATCACACGCTCTCTTCCTATTCTCTATTATTAAGTGTTTAAGACTCACATCTATTGTACCATTTCCATATGCCTTAACACAACATGCTCTCATATGCCTTTGTAATAATATGGTCTGGAATGTCTATGCATTCCTTATCCAACCTGTGGCCATAAATTTAAATATAGCATTTTTTCTGTATTTCCACTCTGTAAATATTTTTCTTAAGACATCATACTACTTTATACTGTAATTTTTGTCTTACTAGACTATTTCTCCTTCCTTTTCAGCAGTAACTCTCTAGTTCAGGATCATTTAAAGTACTTTAAAACCATTACCTAGAATACAATAGGTACTCAAAAACCAAAAGTTAGGACTAGGGATTTAGCTCAGTAGTGCTACCTGCCTCGAAAGCCCAAGGACACAAGTTCAATCCCCAATACCAAAAAACCCCCCAAAGTTAAAATGTAATGAAAGAAAAATGTCTTCCATTTACCACTGACAATATTTCTCCATTATACCAATATTATGTCATGTCTGCTGGTAAGGTCCTTCTGATTATTATTAGTACAATGATTCTCCAAACCAATACTCCACAGGTTAAGAAAACTGGCAGTGAGAATTTAATTTACAGATGATTGCTCAGCTACTAATGGTCACCTGAATGAAGTATTTTAAAAGAATGTTTATTACAATATTAAATAGTGATAGTATTTTAAGTGAAAAGACAATATATAAAACTGTAAGAGCTATAAAACCACAGATATACTGATTCTAATGATATAACAAAATGAAAATAAAATATTAAATTTGGCTTAAGTAGAACGAAGTGCTTTCTGCCTTATTGGATTGTCTGATATTTAACAATATATAAACAATCACACAATAGGATATCCAAAATTATGCAGCTAAGAATATCTAGTTAGGAAGTATAAATTGTACTGCAGAAAATGTTTAATGATTAAATAAAAAAAGTTTATAAAAAACTTTCAGTTAAATATGACAGGTAATTTTTTGGTTATTTATTTTGCCTTGTCAAAATGCATATAAAATTAAAGAATGAAAAGCTGTAACCATGGAGGGGGGCTGAAAAGGACTACAAAAGATAAGAAATTTCATTGTAAACTTGGGAAACCTAAAGTAGGAGAGATACAATAATACAGAAGACAGAATGAAAACTATTCTCCAAGTATCTAGAGATAGAAAATGGAAGCAAAGCATTTGGCCTCGGGGTCCTAAAAGGATCAAGATTTGGAGATACAAGGTACCATAAAAGGAAATTAGATTGTAAAATGGTATGGCTACCATGGAAAATCAAATACAGAATTATCATATGCTCCAGTAATTGTACTTCTAGGTATATATTTAAAGGAAGAATAGGATCTGGGTATATACCAAAAAGAAAAATAGGGTCTTAAAGGAGCTATCCATATACCCATTTTCACAGCAGTATTATTCACAATAAAATCCTAGTTTCTGACAATAGATGAAAGGACAAGCAAAATGTAGCCAACCTTAAGAACTCTGACATATACTGTTATATAGATCAACCTTGAAGACATAATACTAAATGAAATAAACAAGTGACAAAAAAAGACTTTCAAGGTTTATAGTAGTCAAAATCAGAGGTAGAAAGGAGAATGGTGGTTGCCAGGGTCTAGTAGAGACTTGCTGATTAAAGTGTCAGTATTACAAGATGAAAAGCCACAATGAAGAGTTATGTACCAGTTGTAGTAACTACTATAAACTATTACTAATGTACTTAATAAAACAATAATCTACATACTTAGATATACTTAAGGTGGTAAATTTTATGTTAGGTTTTATCCCAATAAAAAATTCAGAGGAAAATGATGCACTGAGTTGAAAAAAAATTGTTGAATTAAAATTATATTTGGAATCGCATAACCCTATATTCTCCCCAGCTCTATTCCCTCAAAGACAAAGTATTCACTTGAAAAAAAAGATCTCATAGGAAATGCCTCCACCCCTAAATGTATAATCAATGCTTCAGAGGTTCAGGCAAGGGTTAACATAAGGAATAAAAGAAAATCTATATGTTCAATTTTATGATCCAAACTCTTTTTCCTACTCCTTTTTCTGTAGTCAGGAGATTCTCATCTCTTGGATCACAAAACACCTACCACTAAAAAAAGAGATTTTTCTCGTTCTCAGTTAAAAAACTAGCTTGTAACTCACCCACCATATCCTATAGCCAAGTCCATTAGTTACCAAGTTTCTAATCAACTTTTTTAGCATTTATAACAGAAAAACATCAAGAATGCCTAGGTATTTAGGGAAGGCTCAATAAAAGACCAAAGTTAAACGAAGAAAAGGAACCTTAAAATGGTACAGAAAGAAGAAATGGGAAAACATTCATTCATAAAATAACAGGACACTTGAGAATGAATTGTAGTATAATAGCCTGTGTAAATTCAAAATGTGATATACTTTTAGAAATGTGATACACTGAAATAAATCCAACATATTGATTCAAAGTTGAGGAAACTTCCCAGAAAGCAGAACAAGTAGAAAATGTGATACAAAAGAGAAAAACCCAGAGGACTATCAGTTATGACTATTAATGAGAAGAAAATGACCAGACATAATGGAACCTTTCTAGACTTGAAAGATATATAGCTCCACAGTAAGAGGAGTCAAGAGTATACAGCAAGATCCAAGAAAATATCACCAACTCTACAGCATAATAAATCATCTGGAAATTTCAGGAAACCAGAAATAAAGGGAAGATCCTATAAGTTACCAGAGTAGAAAAATGGGTCACATACAAAGGAAAAATAATCAGAACTGCCTAACAACAATATTAAACTCTAAGGCAATGCCTACAGTGCTGAGAAAGTGTTTGGCCTTCAATTCCAATCTAGCAATTAATGATAAGGTGAATAGGATATGCATACATTTTAGATATGTATAATCAATCAAATTCAGAATAAGGTGCTGTGGGCAAAGCTCAGTGCCAGAGTGCATCAAGGGTGAGGTCCTGGATCGAACACACAGTACCACAAAATATGTAAGGAAAACAGAAACAAAAGAACTCAGAACCATAGGAACTTAAATGAAGAATATTTTTGTATGAAGATGGAAGTGTAACAACCCGGTAAAGAACCAGGTAACCAGGATGAAACAATCAGGTAAAGAACCCAGGAAGCAGTGACAAAGGCAAGTTCCAGAAGATAGTAAAGCATGGAAAGCAAGTGATCCAGACTGGAGTAAGACCAAAGTAAAGAAAAAAAATTCTAAGGAGGAAAAAAAGCATATATGGAAACAACAATTCATTGGCTTGTGGCAGAGATATGGATAGTACAATTGGGAAAACCATGCTATATACACAGAAAAGGCAATCTTAAAAATGAAATTTTAACTTAGGAAAATATAGACACTGTTTAAGAAAGGAGGTATATCTAGGTGAAATCTTTATTTACATGGCCATAATAATATTAACAGACAATTGAGTCAATTTTGTTACAAACAAGTAGTGGAATGGAGGCATGAAGGGGAAGTAAGAACAATGATGAGTAACAAATACATGTAATAGAAAAATCATGAAATAACAGTATAAAAACATCATTTACAAACATCAAGATAAATAAATCTACAAGAAACAGCTAAATAGTTGAAAAGAAAGTGTGGACAGTTGGATTACGAACAGGGTAAAGAATTTTTGTTTTTTCTTACAAGTAGGATGGCTACACTTTGCCATTTGCCCAGAACAGTCCCTGTTTATGCCCTGTAAAGTACTAACCTCTTTCTGTTCATTATCCCAGGATAAGTACTAAAAGTATCTTTAAAGTAAACTGGTTTGACTGATAAAGCACATGGTCACCTATCTTAAAAATCTTTTCTATCATCAGCTTTTTATAAGTACATATGTGTTAAGTCCATACAAAATTGTTCATGAAAGGTGAATTTAAATAAGACATACATTAGGAGAAAGAATATTCATGGTTAAACACTGGCATTCAAAAACCCATAGATGAACTAACTCCCGGCACCAAAAAAGAAAAAAAAAAACATGAATGATTTAACAAACAGTAAGTACACTGCAGCAAGACTATGAAAATACTCAAGAAAATATTTTGTGACGAGGGTTTTTTAAAACAAGGAAACAAAATGCTTTTTGAAAACTATACATCTAATAGTTTACTTTTAACAATGATGCTTTTTAATTATACCTTTTCTAGTTTACTTTGACTATATTTATACACAGTTCTTACTTGCAGAAATTAAACTAACCTAGTAGGAAATCTTACAACAAACCCTTTGGGAGAAGACAAAGAGGCAGAGTCCTTTGAGAAATATAATTTGATACTGGATAAACTATTTTTGGCAACTCTTCTACATAAACTGATTGAATTTTGACAATGTAGGTGTTAGATGAAAACTTATGTAATTTGGTTGCATAAGTTATAGGTCAAAAACACAAAAAAAATATAGTGAAACACTTGTACGAGGCCACTTCACAATGTTCTACGAGGCATTTTTTAAAGTCCACTCATTTTAGTTTCTTTTGGGGTGAGGAGTGTTGGGGTTTAGTAGGAATGTTAATACTAAGCAAAGGGATGAGGTGTGTAGGACACACTAAATATACTGAGATGGTTCTCTTAAAAAGCTATAGTCTAGCAGGGAACAACTACAGAAAAATATGATAAAACAATTTATAAACAGTATATAGGAAAATATGTAATAACAGACACTGTAGCAGGCAAAAGGTACTTGAAATGCAATGTTTTTTACAAATACTTGGAAGAACACAACACAAAGATAATACAGACATCTTTCAACATAATGATGAGTTTCTTCTAATAATGTATAGTGTTTCTTTAAACCCAGATTTGATTCTAGAACTGGATAGTCAGGTTTGTGTTTGGTGGTGAGAAAAAACTTATTACTAGTGTTGGTTCATAATTGTGGGCCCCACAGTTCATTAAAAACTCTGCTAGTGACATCCTAAACTCTATGCTATTTTATCCTTGAACTTGTGTGAAGTCAGACTTGACTGTGAAACCTGAACTTAATTAGAGGAGTTATGTGCCTGTAGCCATGCTTTGCCTTTAAATTTGCCTTACAGTACTTAATGATGACATGCAGTTTGCATAACATACTTAAATTTGTACTTTCTTTGAGTCTCATTTAAGTTTCAAGCATGATAGGTCCACTGGAATTCTGTGATCATGCCCCTCATTTATACATCTACAACAGACTGAGAAAAGGCAGGCACGGACAGATTAAAGAGACAACTTTGTTCTCCAGAACTTGCTCCAAATTCATAAAGGAGATATAAACCACAAATCCACAAAAATCTTACAATCAATATTTGAGATTTTGTTTGTTCCTCAGTATGACAGAATCTAAAAATTTAAATAAAATTGATATTTTTTACTTTACTAAACTTTTCAACTTCTGAGATGAAGATTTAGTTAAGATTTCTTGAGAGCTGCTATCTAAGTGGTAGTTTACCTAATTTTTAACTCAGTAGGGGCTGGCAGAGCTACATACCTAAGTGGATAAACTGCTTACCTGGCATATGCAAGACCCTGGATTCATTCCCCAGTACCATCAAAAAAAAGAAGTGGCTATCATAAGCAACAGGAGTAAAAAACATATTAAAAAAACAAACATTTGGAGGGCATGTGCATGAGAAAGCAAACAAAAAAGAGAAAATAGATATCATCTTTACTACTTAAATAGCCTGTCCAAATTACAAACCTGTAGCCTGCTTTAGCTACTAAAAATTTTAACTATTTTGCGGGGGGGTAGGTAATTTCATTCAGCTCAGCATCCTAAGAAACTGTGCAGAGCTCTTTAAAAACCAATTTCATGTTTTTGGTGGCCTGTTGAGCACTATACCAAGAGGTCTTTAGATAAAATAAATTTCTATTGATAAACAGCTTTTACATCTATTCTGTAGAAGTAATCTTCCCTTGAATGTTCTTTTAGTTCAAGAAAAAGCCTAAAAGAATTATCATCACCTGAGGAAAAAAAATCAACATGTTCTAAAGCAGCAAAGGTACAGAGTGGTGGTAAGATGTTATTAGGAAAAGGTTAGAAAACCAATTTGAGGACGGACTCTATGCTCATACAAGTCTGTAGCTCTTGGGGAAGGGCTATAAAATCCACATGCCCAAGACCCTCCAACAATACAAAGCAGAGCTGCCACAGGAGGGAGGGGCAATCGAAAAAAATTTGCCTGCAGGCTACAGAAGATGGCAAACCTTTTAGAGATGACTGCCTAAACTACAACCCCAAACCCACTTAAATCATCGCAAAGTGCCAACACTGCAATTAAACCTGAATATTGAGGTTTTAGTTTAGAAGAAACAACTCATACATTAACATCTTTGGTCTTAAAAGAAAAAATAACGCATGTGCCATAGGTTTGCCACCACTGCTATGGAGTCTAGAATGAACAGGGAGCAGGGGCAGAAATAGTGAGAAATCCCAACCTGCAAGGATCAGTAAAATGAAAAACATCCCCCACCCCACCCCACGACTTTGCATAAAATAAGCACCAAGTACAATATACTGTTGAGCAAGGTATAATAGCCTTTAAGAGAACCCTCTGCTGTAGAGAAGCTGAGGGTGGAAACTCTAAAAAGAAATTATCTAGCATTCTATGTCTCACACTAAGTACTAAACTGTGGGAAGAAATCCACCACTGGAGTTCGTTAAAAGCAAATAAAGCAACAATAAAGTTTAGATTGAAATTAAATACTAAACCCATCACACTAAAATTCTGGCAGAAGTACAATTTGTCTTTAAGACATTTCAATTTATTTATAGCATTTGGTATTTAATCAAAATACTGGGCCAGGGATATAGCTCAACAGCATAGCACCTGCCTGGCAAGCACGGTGCCCTGAGTTTAATTCTCAGTACCAAAAAAGAAGAAAAAGAAATTTATAAGAATTATAAAAATGCAAATAAAAAATAATCAACCCACTGTCAAGAAATAAACAGTCAACAAAACCAGACCAAGAGACAGCTCTAATATAAGTAAATGGGGAAATTAATGGGTTACTCCAAAAGGAAACATAGAAAGACATATAATGCTAAATACACAAGAGGGGATTTAAGAGGGAAGAATAAGAAAGTCTAATGTACATTTAATTAAAATAGAAGGCTAGAACAGAAAATATTTGAAGAAATTCTAGCTGAAACTGATGAGTCAAGAAGCCCAATAGGGCCAGGGATTTAGTTCAGTGGCACTGTGTCGCCTCAAAAGCACAAGGTCTTGAGTTTGATCCCCAGTGGTGGTGGTGGGGCAACAAATAGCAACTAGAATAATCAGCAATCCTCACCTATATAACTCACACTAGGCTGAAAATTATACTCCAAAAATCAAAACATATCATCTGGGCGTGATGGCATACACCAGTAATCCTGGTTACTCACAATGCTGAGGCAGGAAGATCTCCAGTTCAAGGCCAGCAGAGAAAGGCAAGGGGGCAGGGGCAGCATTGTTAGTGTAACTCACACACACAAACCACACAGGGCAAGAGTGGGACTGTAGGTCTAGGGCACCCAGAGTTCAATTCCCACTACCCCAAAAACAAAACAAAACCCCAAAACTCAAAATATGAGAACAGTTAAAAATCCCAACAAGATGAGGAAGGCTGGCCTGGGGGTGTGGCTCAGGAGTAAAGAGCTTGCTCACCTAGCATGCATAAGGCCTTAGGTTCAGTCCTCAGTACTAGAAGAAAAATGTCTTCATAAGAGTAACATTTGAGTTGATCTCTGACATCAAACTGCAAAAAGAGAAGGCATAAAGATGCTAAAGTATGCTTAAAAATTAAAAATAGAAAATAACATGAGTGTAATTCAAAGCAGAAAAGGTGAGAAAGGAACCCAAGTGCTCTGAAAGTAATAAATGTAGAAAGTAAATTATACCATGTGTCCTCTGCTCAGGAATCACTTTAATAAGGAAAAGACTTTTACAATCTCTACCACCAGTGCTTTAGACCTCAAAAATTATGTTTTTAACAATTAGAGCAAAGATTAAACAATTAGTGCTAAAGTTTTGTCCACCTTTAATAGATTAAAATATAATTTGCTGCTTTTTGGGGAATACTAAAAGTGACTCAATTAAGTCTGCTACTTTTGTGAAACAAACTGCTGTTACAGGCTAAAGGGCCTAGGAGCAACCAAAGATTTTGAAACAAGGTCAGTTAAAAAAATAACAAATCCCCCAATGCTAAATTGGTATTGAGTTCAACTTATAGGAAGAGAAACACTAATTCCAACACAAATTAGTGAGAGCCCAAAGTAGTGGAAAAGGCAGATTCAATAAATACATTTGAAGAAGACAAGAAACTAATTTCTTCAGATTCTCCTTTTAAATGTAGGCAGGTCCTTCATACATTATTTTTCAGAAAGGGAGACTTTCTACCTGCCTTCATTTTTTTTTGTAAGCATGCAGTGGAGGCCTAAGAAAAAGACTATCCTTCAGTTGACTTAGAACTCCCTGTCACAGCAACAAATCTTTGGCCTTTATAAATTTAAGAACTGCATAAATTTTTTATGTTTTATTTTAGTAGCTTTTTTTGGTTTTGTTTTGTTTTTTTTGATGCCGGGGATCGAACTCTGGTCCTTGTACTTGTGAGGCAGGCAGCAGAACCACTGAGCTAAATCCCCAGCCCTATGTCTTAGTAGCTTTTATAGGAGTTAACTTTGTCTCACCCCTTTCTCAGGATTGGCTTGCCATTCTTTGCAGTTCAATTCATCTAGTTGCCTTGAAACCTCCCCAATAACTGGCATGAGACATGATACTCAAAACACTGAAGAACAAATATTTTTTTTTATTTTCATCTTCAAGGAAATTGGGAGAATGTGAAAATGCAGCACACCAAGATGAGTTGGTTTTAAAAAAATGAGAGCCTGAACTGATCAGAAGTGTAAGAGTATTGGACTTTATAATATGTTTAAAAAGACCCATGTTCACATTAATGATATTTTCAATACCTATAGTCCTTCCCTGTAGGTTAACAATAATGTATTTAATGCGTTTATAAAACTATTTCCTATTTTCCCCATAATGGGGGAAATTAAATACCACCTAATTTTTAGCACATGAGCCAATTTCCAACAATTTGTTAAAAAGAGAGAGAAAGACAGTTAAAGAGTGCAAGCTTTGAAAACTGCCCCTTACTTGAGTGATGCTAGGCTTAATTTCAATAATGCTTAATTTCCTTCCCTTTACAAAATGGTGATAAAATCAACCTCACAAGTATATTGTGAGCTTTGGTAATACACATTATGTGTTCAGCAAACAGTAGCTACTGTTAAGCATTATCATCAACACTAAGAATTTCAAATACACAGCTTAAGAAAACCTCTATGAAGTTTTTCATTATTTGGAACACAGTAAAAAGATTTTTTACAGCGCTGGTGATATAGCTTAATATTCCCTGGCTTCAATGCTCAGTACTGCAATAAAAACAAAAACTGGAAGGATTAGCTATTTTATTCACCTATTGTATCTCTGGGTGATACCATTACTGGTATATTGGGGTTTTTTCCCCCCTCATATTTAGCTTTCCAAACATTCTTTAATGTACTTGTCTTACTTTACTCAGACGTTATTTACAAAAGATTATTTTCTGTAAATTATAAAAAAAAAATCCTAAAAAGCACTAAGGAGGCTAATTCTGTTTGTAAATTGCAGGCATACAGCCTCAGTATCTACCCACTGCAAAGAAGTAAATTCAAATAAAGTACTATTTTAACAAAGACTAAGTGAAAAGGTTAAAAGCCCTTCACAAAATGGAGTTTTAAATTAGCTGGTTTTGAATTTTTTTCTAGGAAAATTTTCAAACACACACAGAAGTAGAAAAAATGAAGTTCCAGGTACCAGTCAATAATCTTAAACAATAATCAATCTTGCCTAATTTACCATCTATATTATCTTTTTTCTTTTTTGAAACTGGGCATCAAATTCAGGACCTCATCCTTGTGAGGCGGGCAGTGGAACCACTGAACTAAATCCCCAGCCCTCACCTATATTATCTTAACGTAATCTTAATTATAACTTTTCTTCTACTGGCATTGAGGATTTTGCACTGAACTACCTGAACTATATCTCTAGCCCTTTTTGTATTTTGTGAGACAGGCTCTTGCTAAATCACAAAATTGCACAGGCTGGGTTTGAACCATGCTCCTCCTCCTGAGCTTCCTCAGTGGCAGAATTATAGGCATGTGCCACTATGCCCAGTTAAGAATGTCCATTCTTCAAATGGCTGAAATCATAAATCATAAGATAGGGCTACAAATCCCTCCATCTTAGTATGTAAATCCCTGTGAAATGCAATGTTGACAGCCTGCCCAGGATGAAGCAGTCTTATTTTCCCACCTCTTGAATGTACATTAATCTGACGGTGACTATAATTCAGTACAATGTAAGGGTCATTTTATAATTTGAAATGGTTTTAAGAAGTCTTATAGCCTCAATTTTCACTATAGTGATACTGTTCTGAGAAACTAATGTCATTAAAGATCACATGGAGCAAGACTTAGATGTTAAGAAACACAAATAACAGACATGTGAGTGACATCTTGTTCTTCCCAATCTGGGAAATACTCCAGCTAAACGTTGGTACAAGTACAGAGAACTGTAAAAAATAGTGAAGTTTTAATTCACCAGGTTTTAAGTGGTTTGTTACACATCAATAGAGCAAAGGTTCATGATTTACCATAACTTACTTTCCTATTATCGTACCATTATTTTATGCTCTCAGTCTCTATGAAAAACCTGATTCTAACTGGGTCAGATTCAAACTCTGTCTTAAGTATCAAGGGAAATTACAGTTAATGAATTACCAAGAGTACATTGTTATATGATAAATTTACTGCATGAAGGCCAGAGTTAACACAAAATATCAATGTATTTCAACTGCCAGAATCTTTCAGAAATAATCACAATTCCATTATTTACCTGTAGTTTTCATATCCCTTTCTTTAAAGAAAAATGGTTTCTAGAGAAAATATTTTTCCCTAATGAAAATTATCCTAGTGTTTTATTGATCCTGGTGAACTCTGAAACACGGAAGCCAAAAGTGGTCAAATAAGGGAAGCATTTTGAATGCATTGTAGGAGCCCTTTAAAAAATGTCTTGAATCTTTTACTTAAATCTTTAAAAAGAAACTACACAAGTGAGTGCTTAAGATCTCCATGGGAAAAAGATGTTGTCCACAGCAGAACGCTTTTGAGATAACCTGTTCTCTTCATGAATTTATTCTGTAGGTGTCACATTTCAATCTTTATTCAGTAAGTGAAAACCAAGTGTTCAACTTATCTAGTCTAACCGGTAGTCACAGAGAAATATATTTGCAAACAGGAAAAACCAGCTCTGACCACATTAAAGCCTATGTCAGAGCTGAAAACTAAAAATTAACTGCAGTGAAAAATGACACCGCAGCCAACTCTCAAATTATAATTTTATCCCCCACCCCCGGGCCTTCTTTGGGTTAGTCTTACAATTAGGTACTTTATTTTAGATAGTTTTTGAGAAGTAATGGTTTGTAATTAGCTAAATTCACTGTAATGGGAATTTGCTTTAGTGAACTCACGTAATCTGAGCAAGAACTCAAAATCTTTTTCATTTAAATTATAATCATTCTAACGTGATCCACTGCTGATTCAGTTATTTAACTATTAAAAGGGCCACTAGTTAAGTTTAACATGTTGCTTAAAATGAGGCTTGATGTGAGACTAAATTTCATTTGTGCATTCCTATTTTTTTTAATTTCTAGAACTGCATTAACAAAAGGTACCAGCCAAGAATCTAAAAAATCACTTTTATTAAGCTTAAGGATAGAACAGTTTTCTATCCCACAGCACGGTGTTCTAACTTTCTAACACTGCACAGATCTTACACGTAAAGCTCTAACCTTCCATTCCAATTCATCTCTGGGAAGCACACTGTCACTTCTTACTAAAATAAATAGTATGGTGACTTTGCAATTTTATCAAAGTCCTAGTCATCCTTCACATCTTAACTCAAGCACTACTTCTTGTAAAATTTTCCTCCCAAATCAAGCACTCATTTATGCTCCCACTATATGGCAAAATGACGATGACAGTAATTGTTTATGCATGAATTCCTGTCTGCAGCCCTAATGTAGTAGACAACTATACATTACCAAAACATGTCTTGCATAATTTGATACATTTTACTTTACAAAATTACTTTCCTAAAACATTAAGATGTGGGAAACTCTTGAGCACACTAAGAGGTGTGTGCAATGGACATGGAGATGACTAATTGGCAACATGAATGTCGTAGATGACTGTTCCCAAGTTAATAATTTGAATGACACTTCAGGTGTGTGTGGGGACTGCTTTATGCTGGGAAAATAAGCCCTCTTGCCAACGTGGTAGAAAAAAATTCACTTGTAAGAATTCTTAAGGCACCTAACTGAAGATTGAGGCTATCTGTAAATTACATAGCTCAGTAGAATGGGTGTTTAGCACTAGCAAGACCACGGGCTGGATAAAAAGACACCTCATCTATCATGAAACTACAAAGAACCAAAGACTATGCATACCACTATTAAGAGATGCAGAAAGTTCTTAAAAAACATGCAATCAACTTTTAAGGTTTTTCTAACCAGAATGCTGGGATATAAACTGGACTTTAGCATCCAATTCTATTTGTTTATTTTTCACTAAAAATTCACACTTCAAGTATGTCTCCTGAAGTGTTGACCGCTTCACAACTACATCATCTAATTTTTAAAAATGTATTTATTTATTTATTTTTGGAGACAGGGTCTAGCTTTGTAGTTTAGGCTGTCCCTTAACTAAGCAATCTAGGTTGGTCTTGAATTTGTGTGATCCTCCTGCCTCAGCCTCCTGACTGCTGAGATTACAGGTTAAATAACTAGCAAAACCAACAACGAAGCCAGGAATTGTGGGCTGTAATCCCAGCACTCAAGAGGCTGAGGCAGGAGGATCCTTTCAAGTTTGAGGCCAGACTGAACTACAAATACAAACCAAGAGTATCTCAAAAGCAAACAAAAAAAACATTCCGACCCATATCTTTGACTAGTATTACTGCCTCATGAACTATTGTTTCATGGAATGGTGTAGCAACTGTAAAATACTGACCCTAATTCCCAAATCAAATTTTTGTTACCTCATAAATATACGCGGTTATACTAGCTACGTACCTCCTTATCAATGGTACTGTTTGATGATTGAATAAAAAAATTCTTAAATCCTTACCTCTTAGTGCTGGGCAGAAATAGTAAAAAAGATGACAGTAAGAAACGGAAAGATTTAAAGCAATGGGATAAACAAAAAGAGAGTACCTTAAAAGTACAAAAATCGGAAGAAAAAACCCAATTAATACAATTTTACTTGGCACATTTACTCTTATCTAATAGTACTAGACATCAGTTGTGACGAATTTACTGCTCGCAGAGATTTTTCCCTACATTTACTTCTGTATGAAAGAAAAAAAATACTTGTGTTTTAATACGTGTGTTTACACATTCATCTTCACTACGCAGTTTCACCAAAATGAGGGAATATTCTACTACTCGCTCCTTCCATATTTTTACTTCGTATGCCAACAGGTCCGATCTTTAAACGTTTTTCGATTCGAATACGAAATTTACCACAAAAAGTGCTATGACATTCTGGACCAGGGGCTATCAAGTGGCAAATCTTCAGGGAACGTAAGGGGCTGACCAAATCTCTTCACTCGAGGCAGGAAGGGCCCAGCCCTAAGCCTCCCCGGAGGTCAGCAGGGCGCTCACTACCTCACTCGCGACACCTCAAACTCCCGGCAAGGGAGGGACCCCCCACCCCCGCCCCGGACGCCGGACGAAGGGAGGCCGCCCCCAGCCAAATCAGGGCTCCAGCCCCTTCCCTCACCCACACGTCGGTAAAGTGAGACGCACAATCAGCCCCAGTCACAAACTCCGCCACCGAACGGCGGG